TAACCTAAATTTTGATATAATATATAAACAAATAATTCAAATAATGAATGATTACACTCCAAAAATGTCAACGTCTTTCAGGGATACGTGAATCTTTTAACATCTCCCGAATACTCCAAAACGACTCATCTCAAGATTATAGAAATATTTTAAACAGTCTGAACTGAATAAAAAAGATCTCTACAGTCTGTATAACTTTTTCATTGAAATCACAAAAATGTTGTAAATCTGAGCCAGTATATTAAATATTACCAACATTGTACATCTGACTGTTAATGTAAATAATATTATTATAACTATCGAATTTTTTGATACTGATATCCTGTATATTATGTAAATATTATTAAAAATTTATAATATCCCATTGTATGGCCCCCTGCAACAGGGACACTTCCCTTTATGCTAATAAAGATTATTATTATTAATATATATATATGATATTAAACTACATATATATATATACACATACATACATAGTTTGCTGGATGTCACATTATATACATATTAAACTTTAGAAAAAATACAAAATCAAAATGAAGAGGTAGCTATTTAAGAAATTCTAGCAGAGTTTGAATATTACTTATGATATGTAAGAAAAATTAAAAAGTCACTATTATTAATTGAAAATGAACTATCCAAAATGATATATCATTTAATTATATTTTTTGTTATGCTCTTGATATAAATATCGTTTTATAGAAGTTTAATTATTCATCTTCATAAGAAATAAAAATTATAAATTTTTCTATTTTCAAGAATTTGTATATTATATATCTCCACTAAAATTCTTAATAGATTAAATATATTTTTTTATATTTAACAAATGAATTATTTATAATAAATGCTTTAGAAGATAAGCAGTTGAATGTTCCTTAGAATATATTTTGATCTGTAATTCTGATAATATTTTATGGTCAAAATTGCCCATTGTTAAATAGTGTACTGTTATGCATATTTTATGGAAGCTTAAAAGTTAGCAAATTTTAAATAGAAAGTACAAGTCAATTTCTAATTAATATTTAAGTAGACTGAGGAATAAAGATATATAAGTATTCATTTTTGTGTATTTCATATATTTAGCAAAATAAATAAATAAATCTGTCAATGGACATATTTTAACCAAAAAATATTTATTGCTTCTATAACAATTCACTTTAATTGTGAGATACATTGTTTTCTGTTAATTTTAAAATAATAACTAAAAATAGGCAAAGTGAATTATAAATTTATTAGTTTAAATTTATATTTAAAGAGATACTGGAATAAATAAAACATACTTGGTTCAAGACCATCCACTTTTATTTTGCTGACATCAACTTTTGAACCTACAGTAACTTTAATAGGACTGTTTGGAATTTCCATATTAGCATAAGATACACTAACCTGAAATAAATTAAAACTTTGTTTATTTTTATTAATCAAATTAAATAAAAACATCAGTTTTAATCATAAAAGAAAAAAAAACTTCTAATAAAAATTAAATTTTGAGTTTTAAAATTTGAATAAAACAAAATAGAATGAGTAGTTTTATAATAGTTGATTTTAAAATAAATAATACTTCATTTTATTTATTAAATTATGAGAACATTAAATAATAAGTTTAATACGTTAAATAAAATACGCTTATATTAACTGTTAATATTGTCAACAACAAAATGTTAAAGTTGCTAAATCTCAATTAGATTCTTTCAAAATTGCATTTGCATCTTAGCAATAAGTCTTCTAAGGAAATAAATTTATAAACAACAAATGAAAATAATATATATGTATTATTCCCATTTGTTGTTTATAAATTATATATATTTATTATATGTATAAAATAAAAATACTAAAAATATTACTTAATAGTCATTGACATTATATAAGAAAATATAATCAAATGAGATGTTTTGCATAATATCAGTTATTGGATGTTTGATTATTCACATAAAACAACAAAAAATTAAAAGATAGTGTTTTCACTATTACTAATGATCAGAAAATAATTGTTAAAAGTAAAATTTGTAATTAAAATTTATTTTATAAAGTAATCAATACAGTATTTATTTATGTTTTATTACAGTGTTTAAGTTTATTCTATATTCTATCTTTGATTACTATTTGAATCTTTATTATACTAATATTTTTAAAACTTTAATGAGCACTCTGCAAAAAACTTGAAAATGATCAGGTCTAAAACTTGATATAAATACTGTATTTAATACATTCTTCTTTATGTAATAGCTATCAAAGTTTCTTTTAATAGTTTTTTAATTGCATTAAAATTATAACTTTCTAATATTTTTTCTGGATTCTAAGAACTATATCCTTAATGATACACAAAAAAGATTTTATTAAGGAAAATAAATCAAAAATTGTTTATGGCATAGTTTTGAAGATAGTAATTAGTTAGAATTATGAGTGAGTTAATACAATATTTACTTTATAATTTCCTGGATTTGGGGCAACATAATCACAAGTATATGTTCCATCTTCATTGTCCTGCAATTTAACTGGAATGGTGTTTCCTTTTTCATCTGTAAGTTTCACTTTTATAGCACCTGATATAAATGTGGAAATTAATAAATTTATAACTGAAATATTAAAATATTTTAAAAGACTTTTTTTTATAATTTAAAAAAATAAATATCTGTTCAGAATTACAGTATGACAAAATGGAAATATTTTAACAACCAATGATAAAATTTTTAAAAATAAGTAAAATCAATAAATTTTATGTAATCTAGATTTCTCTTTTACTCAATTATATTAATTTCAACATATTGTAATAATGAGTTTGGATACAGTTCAGTAGATTAAAGACAGATTCATATAGGAAATAAATGCATTCCTATTTTGATTCATATAAATGCTTAATTCACACTTTTATTCATTTATTTTTAGAGTTTGATAAAAAAGAAAAAAAGCATTTACATGAACCTATGAAGAATACTTTGAAATTATAAGTAAAAGAAATCTTGGATTTTAAATTTTATTGTAAATTTATTGTATTTGATCACATTTAACTTATTTGATCACATTTAACAAATATATTAATATTTTTAATATTAAATAAAAATATGACATTGGTAAATTTCTAAATTATAGTTTTAAAATTTCTTGGAAAAACTCTTAAAAAATAAATAAATAAAAGACATGACTTTTAAAATATTAAAAAAAAATTTTAAGTATTAGTAATTTATTAGTAATTGATAAATATAAGAACTAATAATTTCCAATATTGATTTATAAAGTTACTAATATATGTTCAAGAACAAATTTTACATTTTGATTTAATAATAATAATGATGATGATGAAAATTAATGATATGAGTAATATGAATTATAAATACAGTAAAATTTTTATTTGTAAAATAATTTTTCAACTAATAAAAAACTTATTGGCAAATGTTGTTTGAATGAGGGTAAAATCATGAAATTCCCTGATTTAAGCTACTGGATTTGTTACACTTCAATAAACAGTTATTTACTGACTAGTCTAAGGCAAAAGTTTAGTAAAAGAAAAACGTTTTCAGATCTTTACTTGGTCCAGCTTCAGCTTATTTAATATTTCAAATCAAATGTAGGAGTCATGTGATGTATGTAATTCAGAAGAATTTTGTCAGAGTTATGTAATTCAAAAAAATTTTCTACAAAAACTAAAAGCAAATATTCTACACTATAAACCAATTACTGGTTGCATTATGTATAAATTAAGACTTTACATCAAGACTGGAGTAAGGTCTTAATTTATATACAATGCAACCAATAATTATTGTGTGGTGGCACTTTTATGAATTGGTTGCAAAGGAAATCTCATGGATAATGAACATTTTAAAAGATTAAGACAGGCATTGAATTAATGATAAAGCAGATGTCTGTATTATAAAATACTATTAAATGAGAAATTAGGCTGCAATTTTTTAATCATATTTTTAATTTATTTAATTTAAAATATATATACTCTCCACCTCAAATTGGTAGTGGCTTGTCCCTGTACATCACACTTTTATTTTAACAATAGAGTTGTGCTGGTCATCTGTCTAACACTTTTCAGGGTAAAATGTTTTAATTGAAATAATGTGATTTCTTGTTTGCATTGGAAATTCATATATAGTTAATCAGAGCCTCCTGCTCCTAAAGTTTCCATATCTAGTTTTGTCTTTCATCTATCTAACTCCATTCTCGAATTAAGGAAAAACAGATGGACAGGTAACAGTGGGAATTTATAGGGTCTACAATTTTTTCAAATTGCAGCCCAATTACTTCTACCTGTTATAGTATGGACAAGAGAGTCAATGAACATTACACAGCCACTAGAACAGTGTTTCTCAACCTCTAATGAATCATTGCCACCCCTTCAATAAAACTGTTATGTAGTATCGCCCCCTTCACTTCAAAATTTCAATGCCGAGGACCAAGGCTAATGCAAAATTCGTACTGCATTGAATAGACTAGTGACTAGTATAATGTTATTTGTTTAATTATTGTACGATATAATGAATAAAATATCTAATTATTCTTAATGTGTTTTACTATATCACCCAGAAGATTGTTTTTGCCCCCAAAATATAAATTGTTACTAATCGCCCCCTCAACTGCACTAGAACATGGACTGAACTTCAGTAGTGCAAATGGGTATGTGNTTGCAATATCATAACTTCAATATTATTTTTAACAAACCAGTTATACAGTAAAATTTTTATTTGTAAAATAATTTTTCAACTAATAAAAAACTTATTGGCAAATGTTGTTTGAATGAGGGTAAAATCATGAAATTCCCTGATTTAAGCTACTGGATTTGTTACACTTCAATAAACAGTTATTTACTGACTAGTCTAAGGCAAAAGTTTAGTAAAAGAAAAACGTTTTCAGATCTTTACTTGGTCCAGCTTCAGCTTATTTAATATTTCAAATCAAATGTAGGAGTCATGTGATGTATGTAATTCAGAAGAATTTTGTCAGAGTTATGTAATTCAAAAAAATTTTCTACAAAAACTAAAAGCAAATATTCTACACTATAAACCAATTACTGGTTGCATTATGTATAAATTAAGACTTTACATCAAGACTGGAGTAAGGTCTTAATTTATATACAATGCAACCAATAATTATTGTGTGGTGGCACTTTTATGAATTGGTTGCAAAGGAAATCTCATGGATAATGAACATTTTAAAAGATTAAGACAGGCATTGAATTAATGATAAAGCAGATGTCTGTATTATAAAATACTATTAAATGAGAAATTAGGCTGCAATTTTTTAATCATATTTTTAATTTAGTTAATTTAAAAGATATGCTCTCCACCTCAAATTAGTACTGTAGTGTTTTGCCCCTGTATGGTACATCATACTTTTCCATTAGCAATGGAGTCATACTTTTCCATCTATTAACTACTTTCAGGGGAAAGTTTTGAATTGAAATAACATGACTTCCGATTTGCATTGGAAGTTCATATATAGTTAATTGGGCCTCCTGCNTTATTGTGACATCACAAAGCTAAGCTGCAATTTTTAATCATATTTTATTTAATTTAAAATATATATACTCTCCACCTCAAATTGGTAGTGGCTTGTCCCTGTACATCACACTTTTATTTTAACAATAGAGTTGTGCTGGTCATCTGTCTAACACTTTTCAGGGTAAAATGTTTTAATTGAAATAATGTGATTTCTTGTTTGCATTGGAAATTCATATATAGTTAATCAGAGCCTCCTGCTCCTAAAGTTTCCATATCTAGTTTTGTCTTTCATCTATCTAACTCCATTCTCGAATTAAGGAAAAACAGATGGACAGGTAACAGTGGGAATTTATAGGGTCTACAATTTTTTCAAATTGCAGCCCAATTACTTCTACCTGTTATAGTATGGACAAGAGAGTCAATGAACATTACACAGCCACTAGAACAGTGTTTCTCAACCTCTAATGAATCATTGCCACCCCTTCAATAAAACTGTTATGTAGTATCGCCCCCTTCACTTCAAAATTTCAATGCCGAGGACCAAGGCTAATGCAAAATTCGTACTGCATTGAATAGACTAGTGACTAGTATAATGTTATTTGTTTAATTATTGTACGATATAATGAATAAAATATCTAATTATTCTTAATGTGTTTTACTATATCACCCAGAAGATTGTTTTTGCCCCCAAAATATAAATTGTTACTAATCGCCCCCTCAACTGCACTAGAACATGGACTGAACTTCAGTAGTGCAAATGGGTATGTGATTCCAATGTTATGACATGTTGGAATCATTCTTTATTAAGAAATATAATACTAGAGCAATTTTCATGTTACAAGTTGTGTTACTGTGTTTGTGCTAATAGACTCTCTAGATTTTTCATACTATCAAAATATTCAAAAGGATCTCTATATCCTAAGTTTATATTTTATGGTGAATGTATTGAATATATGTATAAAAATTTCCACTTACATGGTAAGGTAGCTGATGAATTGTACTAAGTATATATTATAATAGCATGGTCTCACAATATTTTATATTATATGTGCTTATTTAAAAATATGTGTGTTTAATTCATAAATAATTGTTATTTAGTCAGCTTAACATTATCTCAAAGTTTGTAAATTTTTGTAAAAATTTTAAAAAATTTTCCAAATTACATATATCTTCAGAATACCATGTAACTTCAACTTTCAATTCAAAATATTAAATGTGCTGAAAGCTGCAAAAGATCCAAAAACATCTCTTACTAAACTTTTGGTTGCCTTAAACACAGCACGAAACCTTCTTTGTAGTACCTTCTAAACACTTCTCCAGTAGCTTGTTATCTTGATAACAACTAATGTTTTCAATCCTTCAGCTGGATCTTCAGGTTAAAAACATTTAAAAATTTAAAGAAAACAGTTTGAAATGGGTTTAATATCTTGTGTCCTTCTTTATAACAATGACATCGCACATCAAATTTAATCTGGAGATGCATTCAATTAACAGAACATTTTTAAAACACAATGTTTATGTTTGACTGAAAAAGATTCAGCTGAAGGATCGAAAACGTTAGTCATTATCAAGATAATAAGCTACAGGAAAATTGTTTAGAAGATACTACAAAGAAGGTTTGTGCTGAACTGCCACTTCAGTATTAATAAGTTCGAGTAGAGCCTTAAACATAACTGTGTTTTCCTCTTTTTGTCAACTTTTATGATATGGTTCCAAGTTTTAAAGACTAATAACTTTAGTTAATTTATTATAAAACAAAGTTGTTAAATTGTCAGTTAATTTTAATTAAATTGCAATATCATAACTTCAATATTATTTTTAACAAACCAGTTATTATTTGAATAAAGACAACATATTATTAATCAATAAAAAACATTATATTTATTAAATTATGATAAAATCTTTACCTGGTCCCGCATCTCGACAATCAATGTTGAAATGTGTAGGTGTTTGAGCCTTAACTCCTTTTTCTACTCCTGGTCCAAATACTTTAACTTTACCTGCATCAGTAGGTTCAGACACTTGGACCTATGAATATGTATCAATTGTAATTAAAACCACAAAAAAAATATCAATTGTTAAGCAAATTCATTAAAAATATATTAATTCAGGTATTATAATACTAGCAAAAAAGCATTGGTTTTTAAATAAATTTAACTATATATAATACATTTTAATTTCAACATTTAATTAGAAATATTTTGGATGGTTAACAAATGTATTAAAAAATTATACAAATATTAATTATTTTAATATTTGTATGATTTTATCCCTTATATAACTTTTATATATTATTTATGCATCTTGATTTTATCAGAAAACTTATTTTATAACATATCNCAGGATTGGCATATATATCTAAACTGTATCTCAATCACAAAGAACCTTAAGCATTACAATTGTATTGTAATTATTTTTCTGATGAACCAAACTCACCAAAAATATATAAAAAGTTATTAAATTTTTAATAATTAAGTTAAAAATTACGTTTGTTTTTAATGATAAAAATTATTATTACAATTCAAAATATATAAGAAATAAAAGTAAAAATTAATGTGAAATATTAAGGTCTTAAAATATTCATTGTAATATATAGAGTAAAGAAATATAGAAAACTTATCTAAAATGTCAATAATCTACAAGTGTGTTTGTACTGTATAAATGTATATTTCTGAATAGAAGTTCACTGTATGAAAAGCTCAGAAGACATTTTTGATATGTTCTACATCATTAATACATTCATAAATACAATGAATTAAATGAATTATTAATGAGTCAATCATAAAATACCATGGGAATAAAATATGTTGTGATTGTGGAAGATCTTGTGGAACAGTGTAACACATTTTTGTCTCAGTGGAACACTTTTAACTCAATTATGATGGGCCATTAAATCTGTAACTGCCACATTTGAACCACTGAAAACCCTCATATTTTCTAGTGGATTCTACTGCACTCATCTAAAGTTACAGTTTAGTCTAGATTAATAGCAAAATTTATCCTTGAACTATTCTTTGAAGAAACTAATCTCAATGAACATGTGACATGATCTGTGATGGTAGTAGATACAAGATGCTAAACACTTGGTCATTCCCTAAAAACAACAGAGCTAATACCTTTAGTCAATCACTTTCATGCAAGATGGAGTGCCTCTATTGCATACAGCAGTTTCTACAACTTTTCACCAATAATAGAGTGATTAGTTGTGCATTTCGTATTCCCTGGCCACCTTGCTTTCCATATCTTAATCCTTGTGATTTTTGATTGTGGAAACAAAAAAAAAAAAACATTTTATTTAGGACATCTTGCAAATTTTCCATCCTTGACAGACAATATCACACTGAATATGAAATATATCACAGAGAATCAATTATGGTTTGCCATTACATATATTGTTTAATTTCCTTTTGGTTTTGTGTTTTCAGAATTGGGACCATATTGAGCAATAACTTCTAAATCATTAAAGTCTGTGCATAGCATGAATGTCTTGTACAAATAAAATGTTTGCAGTGCCAAAAATATTACAGTGGAAAGTTTTTATATACTATTTTTAATGAAAATGTCTTATGCATGTTCTGAAATGTCACCATACCAGATTTTTTACATTTGGACGAATAAATATTTTTCTAGACATTGTTGAATAGGGATACTTTAATTACAATCACCCAGGATTAATTTTATTTTAAAAGAACTTAATAATAGTTGAATGTAAACTATTTTTAATTTCTTTAATCATATTATTCAAGATAATATTCTAAACAAATGTTCATTAAAGATTTTTCTTACTGTTAATATGTTTACATAATGATTATATATATGTTATGTTAGTATTTACGATGATTTAATACTAAGTTTGATTCTAAAAAAAAATTATGTATAATACATCTTCAATAACTAATAAATATATTCTTAATCTAAAAATTAATATATTCATACCCTAAATGGACTTTTAGGTATAGCAACTCCACCATAATTTATTTGTACAGTATGCTTATTATTTTTAGTTGGTTTGTAACTACATTTATAGGTTCCATCTTTGTTATCTTGAATTTTCAAGTCTACTGGTCTATATTCTTCATCTGTAATAGTTACATTAAGTGGAGCATTTCCTCCTGCCTTTCTTTTATCAATTGTAAATTCTGTTGGTTGACCCTGAACAACACCTGACTTTTGTAATCCTGGACCATATGCTTCTACCTAAGAATTATTTAAATAAATTGAATGAATTAATTATTTTTTAATTAGAATAACTATACTCATCTGTCAGCTAGTCCAGCAGGAAAACTAGAATTAATATCTCTGTCTACATTGCTCAAACTTATCCATGTGCTAATCCTTTGTGCGATCAGATTTTTATAAAACAATTTACAAAAAACACTTGAAAATGAGATTTCAAGATAAACTTTTGCAATTTGTGCAATTTGCATTGAGGAAAAAGTAATTTCTAACTCAGCTGAATTGTGCAGCTCAAAGACTGAATTAGAATCCATATTCCCAAACTCGTTCATCTTGAAGTGCATTCACCTTATACTCCCCCCTCAAGTAATACTAGAAAAAAAAAAAAAAATACATGCACAGCACAAAGTAACAGACATACTTAAATTCACTTGTAATATTGCTTTCAAGATAGAAATTACCAAAATGATTTCTTTTGATGAAGCAATAAGAGAATTTGCCTGTAGAAAAACTCAAAAACACATTTTATGATCTGATTAAGACCTGTATGTAAAATGTGCGTTTTTTTTATTTATATTTGTAATATAAATAAAAAATTACTAAATTAAAACTGATAGTAAATGCAATTGCTTTACTTAAAATTTAGTTACGGATAGTTAATGGGTATACAGGGGAGGGAAACTAAATTCATCTTTGTGCTTAGTGTCCAAGACAGTGTCTCTGGTGCTGCCTATACTATAAATATAGTCACACTTCTTAATGCAAACAGTCAATATTATTTGCATTAGTTTTGATTTCATTTTTAACACCATTTGTCTTATAAGTTAGTATGACTATAAATACATTTTTAGCCACTTTGACTATAAAACAATCTTTGTAACTAATATTTTATTATGGTACTTGAAGACATGAGAAAGAAAGATGAGAAGCATATATTGTTATCTTTTATTAGTAAAAATATTTCAGGATAAGCATATATATCTAAACTGTATCTCAATCACAAAGAACTTGCATTAAGATAAATAAATTTAAAAGCTGTTTCTATCCATTATCTTACAATATGAAAAATCATAAAACAGTTTATTGATGATTCAAAAATAAGTAAATTTAAAAGAAACAGAGCTTGTATCTCAAGAACTAAATGACAAGTTGCTTGAATGGTTTCAAAAAGATGAAAATTTAACAATTCGTGGTTTAATAAATAAGCCATTAAAATTTGGCAAGTTTTATCTAAAAATGTACAAAACATAAAACATTTCTAAAGTAACAACTCTAAAGATGCTTATAATTTTGAAGCAATAAAAATTCAAAAATTATTAATGTGATTTCATTTTTTTCAAACAGTTTTTTTTGCAGTAAATAGTTTCTGTTTCATTTGTTTTTTTTTTTTATTAAATTTAGTTTTATTTAATTTAATGTTTGCTCAATGTTAGTTTTAATTACTATTAAAAACTATTTAAATTTTAAAAATTCAGTTTCCTATACAAAGTCATACTGCAAAAATTTCATTCCCAAAGTTGTGACTTTTGATAGGTCTGATTGTATATATCCCAAATGTAATAGTGATATTTTATTAATTGTAAATAAATTGTTGTGCAAACAAAAAGAAAAGATAAATTATTGTTCAAAGGGATCTCTAAAACTATCATACATTCAAATTATGAAGGATAAATTTATATATAACAAACTTTAAAAATTGTTAACAGACTAACATTAAATTATTGTATATTTTTCTTACCTTTTCAGGGAAGTAATCAGTTTTTGGAAGGATTTGAACAATATAAGGTGATTTTGGAATGTCTTCATTATTACATAAAATATGAACTGCATATTCACCAGGTGTAGGTGGATAATATTTTACATCTGCAGAACCATCACGATTATCATGACATTCAATTTTTGCTTGTGATGGTCCTTCAATAGAAAATCCTATAAAAAAATATTTTCTTCTGTTTATCTATATTTATGTAATTCATTCAATATATCAATACCATCAATATATAAAATAAGTAGATATCAGAGCAATTAGACTGAGATAAATTGCAAAAAAGTTACAACAGTGATGATAATTTTTTTGTGGATTTTTGTGGTACTCTGTGCTATGTCAGATCAATATCAAAGCATACAGTAGCTATAGAAAAACTTATTATGATTATATGCTGTTCACTTATGTATCTGTATTTAAGAATTTCCTATATGGCAATTGTTTAGTATGGTAGCTTTCTGTAGTGTGATATGTGTGCTATACTGTCTAGACACATCAGTATTTCACTTTTATGCAATGTATGTGTTATAATTCCTGTGCAAAAAAGAACAGATGCAATAAGCACCTTATCCATTCTCCACAGGAACTTCATTTCATGGACAAGTTCTGAGGATTTATTAGTTTTCTTAGTGTATGTATTTTGTTTGTTGTGGGTGTTTGAAACACCTGTCTGTAATGTCTATACCATGATCACTGATAAAACAATGATAGTGTGAGCCACCGTGGAGGTCTAGAAGTCCACTCCTTCCAGCCTCAGGTCGGTGACCTATTTTCTTGTCAAGGATGGCATTTCGTTCAGTTACGCGTTATGCGAGTGGAGGAGAGTCAGAGGGGTCAACGATAAGACGTTGGCAAAGTCAAGTAATGACACCATTTAAAACAAAACAACAGTTTATTTAACGTGCTAACTAAATAAAAATTTACAAAACTCCTTAGACTTCGCAGATGAGAGAGAGAGTTTACAATAATATTTCATACCTCTGGGATAATATCGGATGGATACTGCAGCTTTAATTTCTGAAAGGCGGTGTGAGGTGGGGCACAAGGTCTTCCTTTTAATGTCGTACAGTAGGTCTAAGGGAAGTTAATGTCCGTCTTGGTCGTTCGATTGGCGACTCCCCCAAGAGGGGAAGGAGGATGGCTTTTATACATTTTGTGGTGGGAAAATTTGTCAGGTGACCAATTGTTTTAGCAGGTGTGGGGTTAAAGTTGGTGTTAGAATGACAACAATATGACGAATTTCGCCGATAATTGTAAACTATACACGGTTTGATCGTGAGAATGTTTATAGTAAAATAGAAAGAGTTATAAATTTCTCATACACTTTATATTTCATTTCTGTAGGGTCAAATTCCTCTTGTTAAAGGAATTTTTTTATTTAAATTTATTAAAAATTTATAAGATTACTTTCATTTATGAAATTATATGAACTTCGAATTTAATAATAGTATATTTTGTGTTTTATTTTCTGTGACCATTTGGAGTATGTATTTATAGTATGGTTGCTAGATGTGTGATAGTTTGTGTGCAATCTTTTCACATATTATGTTTGCTATTTGGTTATGTCAAAGTAAATAATCAATTTGTGTCAAAAGTTTGCAATCCAAAATGATATGAAATATACTTTCATACATGATGTGGTATATCTTAATTAAATATTATTTGAGGGTTGTGACCTTAAAAACGTGTTTCTAGAAATTATGACCTGGTTCTTTATGGCAATTATGAACTTTTTCATCGCTCCAAAGAGAAACCTATGAGTCTCACTAGAGCCAACAGTTTGATGCAATTCTGTCAATATGATCCTGGCTGAGATCATTAAGTTTACCATAAAGCCATGTCTTGTGTATTGTATCCAGGTCAATGTTCTGTAAACTGTTTTTACACTTGTGTAAAATTAGTATACTAATAGGTGTATAATTTTTGTCTGTAAGAGCTACAGCTTTTGTATATATGTGATTCTTGTTTTCTGTAGAAAAACTCATGATGTCTGTGTTTATAGTGAAGATTTAAAATATCTATAAAGGCCTCATCATGCCTCTTTATGAAAAGTCAGCTGTTCTATGGATGACTCAGGATTGTGTTTTGTTAAATGTTGTTCATGTCTTCTTTTGAAGTTGTTTAAATAATAATAATAATAATAATAATAAACTAAAAGATAAGATATTTATTAAAAAACTATTTTTGATTTATATACAGTACTGTATAATTTTTAATAATTTCAAAGTTTCATTAAATGAGATAAAATTAATTTATGAAATCATTTTAACTATATAAAATTTCATTCTTCTATTTTTTATATTCCATATTAAAGATTTTTCAGAGTAATTTTAAAAAGTAATAAGTTTTCTAACAGTCTGAAATATNAAATGTCTATCTTTAGAAATATTATTTTTACTATATTATTTCAATAATTTTTACCTAAAGATCCAGTTTCACCATTAGTTTCAACTGTGAAACATGCTGGATAACCAGCAACACCACCTACGAGACCAGGTCCATATGCACGAATTTTTGAATCTTTAAATGGACCAACATTGACTTCAAAAGGACTACCATTTATCTCTTGATTTTCATAAGTGATTGTGACCACATAACGACCTTCCTTCATTGGTCGATAAATGCATTCATAAGTTGTTTCATCAATTTTTCGGACATCTACATGCTCAGTTGCACCACCTAAAATTTTAATTGGATCAAATTTTTTAAAATAATATTTTGAAAATCTTTAAAACTAATTTAAATACTGCTTCAAAATTACATTAATTTTTCAAAAGAATTTAATTAAAATCTTTAAAGAAGCACAAACGTAATAATTTATGTTTCTCTTAGAATATAAATTTATTATGTTTGTGCTTTTGAAAAGCACAAACATAATAATTTTATATTCTAAGAGAAAAAATTAATTTTACATTATTTAAAATAATTATTTGGTAGATAATATCAAAAATATCTATTTTGATATTTATTAATAAAAAGAAAATTATGATTTCATTAAATGATTAAGATCATTATATCTAAAATATTATTTCAATTCCAAAATTAAAAATATGATCTAACCTGGCCCAATTACTTTTACATTAAGTACACCTTCACCAGCATTTTCTGTATATACTTTGAAATCAGCCATATCACGGACTCTCACTCCATTAGGTTGCAGACCACGACCACTTGCTCGAACTTTGCGAGCATCACAAACTTAAAAAAGAAATATTAAAATTAATATACAATAATACAATTAAATTTTGCAATATAAAACTTTTCTTAATAAGAACTGCAAATTTTCTCAACCACTATTGCTGAAATTAAAAAATATATATATTAAAGATATATATATATATTTATCCTTTACCTGGTGTCACTTTAACTCCAAAAGGACTGTTAGGAATTTGTTGTCCAGCAAAGAATACATTCACAGAATGTAAACCTACAGTTTGAGCAACATATTCACAACGATGAACATCATCTGCAATTTTTCGTACTCTGCATGGTACAGTATTTCTATTTCCTTGAGGATCTAAAATTTTAACTTCTACTTGACCTCGACCTGCATCTAGATTTAACATAAACATTAAATTTTTGATCATCTATTGTTATATTTAAAAATATATCTTTTAAACTTTTTTAAAACTTTGAATGTGATTACCTTTTGTGAAAATATCAAAATATGTTGGGCGACCAATCATGACACCAGTAGGTTCCAATCCAGGTCCACTTGCTGTAACTTTTTTTGGATCACCTGCGTGACCTTCAACCGTGACACTGAATGGACTTTTTGGCACTTCTTTATTTGCAAAATAAACTTTTACCTAAAAAAATATTTATATAAAATACTACATAAATTTCCATATTCTTATTTTTAATGCATGTACTTGTTTATTCACATTAACACAAAAAATATTTTGTAAGACTTTAAAATTACATAATTAAAATATATACAGTAGACCCTCCTATAGCGCAGGTTCATATAATGCGGATTCTTATATTGTGGCAAAAAAATTGCGACCGTATTTGTATAAAGACGCTAAAAGAGACTCGTAAAATGCAGTAAAACGTTATCACCGACTCATGTCGTGACAGGATTGGTCGAATCTGGACCAATAGTGGACAAGCAGCCAAACTACTTACAAGCTACGGAGAGTTTAGGCAGGTAAGTTGAGTTTACTATCGTCTTTACAGTATATAAATTAGGTACTGTAAGTCTAATACAGTACTGTAATTTTATACATTTCTTGTGAAAAAAAACATTTTTTATTCAACGGTCATAAAAATTATTTCTATTAATGATGTCTCCAAAGTTCAACAAATTTTTCGAAGAAAAATAACTTATCACAAAACGCGGCCATCATTTGGTGTGCTGCTCTGCGACAAAAACAAGCTTAAGCAATGGAGTGGTCGAACGGTGCACACTTGGTAAGTAATTCTACAATTTTTTGTTTATTGCATAGTTTATACAGATTATTCCCCAAAAAATTATACGTGTTTTGGAAACGTTGAGTGAAATTAGTCTAAAATCAATTAATTTCATGGAAGAAAACCTTTCAAATAGCTGTAGTCCGTAAACTTGACACGTGTCGGGCTGTGATTGGCTCATGTATTTAAGGATTCCTACAATGCGAAATTCTTATAAAACGGAACATATCTTCTGCGGTATAGGGGGAGGGGTCGACTGTATATATATATTTTTTACCAATCATTAAAAAATTGAGAAAATTTACATAATCTTAAACAAAATTTCATATTTGTTTGAGATTATGTAATGAAGAGGCAGAATTTGGATATTCCTGGGCTTAGTGAAGTTAGATGGGAGGACAGCGGTGATTTTTTTAGTGATGAATTCAGGATTAAAGAAAAGAATGGTGTAGCATTTATTTTAGGTGAGAAGGTAAAAAACTCAGTTGAAAAAAATTGAATGCAGAGGTGACAGAATTTTAATGATTAAAATAAAAAGCGATCCCATGGATATGATGATATTTCAAGTATACATGCTTACTGGAGACTATGACGATGAAGAAGTAGAAGAAATTTATGACCAAATTGAAGATATAATAGAAAATGATAAAACTAAGAAATGCCTAATTGTTATGGGAGACTGGAATGCATCTGTAGGAGAAGGAGGAGATGGAAAAATTGTGGGCAAGTTTGGGCTAGGAAATAGGAATGAAAGAGGCGAACGACTAGTTGAATTTGCTACCAAGCATCAATTAATAGTTGGAAACACATGGTTCAAACAATCCAAACGTCGACTATACACTTGGAAAATGCCCGGAGACATTGGAAGGTATCAAATAGATTATATTCTTATTCAAAGTCGTTTTAGGAATGCAGTCAAGAAAATTCAGACATATCCAGGAGCAGATGCAGATTCTGATCACAACTTATTAACTGCAGATATTGTGATGAAATTGAAAAAAGTTTTGAGAGCCAAAAGAATAAAAAGATGGAATTTGGAAAAGCTAAATGGAAATACTGGATTAAATTTTAAAAAAAACCTGGAATATAAATTAAAAAAACTTCCATATGACTGACTGAGTTTGACCCAAACGAAAATTGGAAAAGAATTAAAGATACAATAAAGGAATTAGCTGAAAATTTTCTTGGATATGTAAATGGTACTAGAATAAAAAAACCTTGGATTACTCAAGAAATGATTGAGAAAATGGATGAAAGAAGAAATTGGAAAAATATAAATAATGAAAAAGGGAGAATGATGTACAAGAAGCTAAATAATTAATTGAGGCTGAAACTGGAAAAGCTAGAGAAGCTTGGTTAAGTAAGGAATGTGAGGAAATCGAAGAACTGAACAAAAAAGGCAGATATGATCTATCATACAAAAAAGTCAAAGAACTAACAAATGATCGCACCCACCAAATTCTGAGTATTGAAGACAAAGATGGAAAAGCACTTTTAACCCCAACTGATATAATGGGCCATTGGAAAGAATATATTGGAGATATCTAGGGAGAGAACACCAAACCTAAAGAGTTAAAATTGGAAAAATCTTCTCAAATAGCTAATGATGAAAGAGGACCTATTATCATGAAAGATGAAGTTGGATTGTCAATTAAAGAATTGAAAAACAAAAAGTCAGAAGGAATAGATGGAATACCAGCTGAATTTCTAAAAGGGTTAGGCAAGGAAGGAATCGAGAAAATAACAGACTTATGCAATCTCATATATAAAACAGGAGAATGGCCTGAAGACTTTGAGCAAAGTATTTTGATACCTATACCAAAGAAAGCAAAAGCTAAAAAGTGTAGTGATTTTAGAACAATTAGTTTAATTTCACATGCCTCAAAAATCCTTCTTAAAATCATTAATAGAAGACTCTACAACAAGGCTGAAACATTTCTATGTGAAGAACAATTTGGATTCAGAAAAGGAAAAGGAACAAGGAATGCTATTGGCCTCTTGAGAACAATCTGTGAAAGAAACATTGAGGTTAATAAGGATATGTACATTTGCTTTATTGACATGGAAAAGGCTTTTGATATGGTTAACTGGACAAAGCTAATGGAAATTTTAAGAAAAAATAGGAACAGACTGGAGAGATAGAAGACTCATTGCTTCACTTTATATGAATCAATCTGCCATTATCCAAACAAAAACTGGAGAAAGCAAACCATGCAGTATTGGAAAAGGAGTCAGGCAAGGGTGTACACTTTCACCTACTCTTTTTAACATTTATCTTGAGGAATTAATGAATGAAGCCATAAGTGAGGACAGCCTCGGAATTAAAATTGGAGGCCAATTAATACAAAGTATTAGGTTTGCAGATGATATTGCTTTACTTGCACCAAATGAACAAACTCTACAATGTTTGGTAACAAAACTCAACAAAACTTGCAAAAAATTTGGAATGAAAATTAACATAGCTAAAACAAAAGTGATGAAAGTTGGAAGGCTAATTAGCAAAGATTTGAAAATCCTAATTGATGGAAACAAAATAGAGCAAGTTCAACATTTTAGGTATCTTGGCAGCATTATTCAGGGAGATGGCAGATGTGAAAAAGAAATCAAAGAACGAATCAGGGCTGGAAAAATGGCTTTTTATAAGAAGAAGAACCTTCTTATTGGAAAAATGAACCAAACACTTAAAAAGAAGTTAATAAAATGCTTTTCCTGGAGCACAACTTTATATGGAGCAGAGACTTGGACCTTAAGGAAAAAGGAAACAAACTACCTTGAAGCATATGAAATGTGGTTATGGCGAAGAATGGAGAAAATCAAGTGGACAGAAAAGGTTAAGAATGAAGATGTTTTAAATTTGGTCCAGGAACAGAGATCTCTTTTAAAAACAATACAAAGAAGAAAAAATAACTGGCTAGGTCATATATTGCGAGGAGAAGGATTAATGCAAGTGGCATTAGAAGGAAAAATTGATGCAAGGAAACAAAGAGGAAGAAAAAGAAAAGTATTGACAGATGATGTTTTACTAGGCAAAACTTATAAAGAAATAAAAGAGGAAGCCCGAAATAGAGAATGTTGGAGAAGGAGAATTCTATAATTTGACTGCTTTCCACAGACCTGTCCTAGGACACAACACCCATGAATGAATGAATGAATGAATCTTTTTGTTTTCAAATTCTATATTCTAAATTTGTCATCTTAACTTCTGGCATTTTTTAGCATACATAGAGATAGTGATTTGAATTGACTATTATTTATATAATATAATTTTTAAATAGTTTATTTTTAAAATATTTTTGTTATATAATAAAATCTTAAAAACTTGCACAAAAAATTTATAATATATGTGTTTAAATTACACTCTTTTTAAAAATTATTTATAGTAATATTTACAGATTAAAAACAATTATAACAATGAAAAACTCCAAACTTATCTTAAGAAATATTTATACAAAACAAAGTATTTTGATTCATTATATTTATCAGAAAGTTATGTATACTGAATAAATTATAAAGCAAGCAATAAATGTATTTGTTTGTTTGACTTATTATAAATAATTTAATTTATAGCATCATAATTACAATAGAATTAAGAGTAAAATAGTTCATTATTATATATTAATGTGTTAAAACTTACCTTATGTACTCCTTCCATTTTGGCAGTATATGTAACAGTATATGTCTTGCTACGATCATCATTGAATTTTATCTCTACCTAAAAGTTTTAAAATATATTTTTATCTTTTGAATAAATTAATTCAATTAATTAAAAAGACAAAAAAATTAAACCTTAAATGTTTATTTTTTACTTAAATTAATATTTAAATCAACAGCTGAAAAATTTAAATTAATGTTACAACTAATATTAGTTTGAATTATAAATTACTAATAAACAAAAATGAATATTTATATTAAAATGAATTGATAGAAATAAATTAAATTCTCAATAAAACAAAAGAAGGCATTTTAATAATTTTCTTTTCAAATAATTTAAACATCAATTTATTAAATACAGTCAAACTTCTGTGTAAAAAAATTGGTTCTGAGAAACAGAATATATTATATAGAAAATTTGTTATAAATAGAAAATGCACTGGTAGTGAAAAGAAAACAGTGTACTGTAATAATGCTTTACTGTCCATGGAAATATGCTGATACTTATATTAATAAGAAAATAGAGTGCTATGCATGCATTTTACATAAAAATGAAAACTAAAAGTACAGTATTTTTACTGAAATGAGAAAAGTGCTATGATTAAAATAAGTTCTCTTATATATTTATGTTGAAGGTTAAAGTTAGAATTACTTGTTTAAGCAAAATCTTCATATGGAATGTTTTCTTGCTAACAGAAGCTATTTCTTACAGTTGTGAATGTATCAAAATGGTCATTATTTGAAACTATTCTCAAATATAAATGTTTAGACATACTTAAGAATAAAGGCTATGGTAGCCTACAGATACTATACTGTAATATAACAGTCACCCAGGAATGCATAGTTACAGAAATGAAATCCTCATCTTAAACCAATTTTATTATTTTAATATACAAAATAATATTTTTATTTCATCAGGCTTTCAAAAGCTCATTATATAGAAACTAAATTTCATTAAATAGACAAAAAAAAATTTCAATGTCTCACAGAAAATTGATTAAAAAGAGAAATTCATGATATAGAACTTTGCAACAATTTAATCCAACTGTATTGCACACAAAATAATGAAAAAATAAAATTTATATAAATAATTGAAATTTTAAAAAGTAGCTAGATAGATCAATATAAAATTTCTTTCTATTAACTGAAGAAAATATGACTAAACTCTCTCAACTTCCCACTTTTTGGTTTGATGAAGAGCTGAAATCATTCTTACCATAATTTTTAATTGTTTCTGTTATAACAAATAATTTGAGAAAATGATACATTGTCATCTGATAAAAACCATATAAACATTTATAGGTTTGATGAAGCTTGTAAATGTAAAGTTAAAAAAATTAGTTATTGATATTCATTCCTTTTGACATTGTGTTATTTTAACAAAAATGAATTTATATCATGTTTTAAATATAACTAAGTTTCATATAAAGTTTTAAAGATAACTTCAACTAACTAAACACAATATTTGTACATTCTACAAAATAAACAAAATGTTTCATAATTGTATTTTACTGATATTTTTTCTCAGTATTGCTCTAACAAACATTATAAACTATTGAAAACAATTAAATTTATCGATTTTGAAAAGAAATAATTATCAAAACTTATGTTTTAATTAAAATTTCAAATGACAAGCAACTGTATCATGGCACAATTCACATGTTTTCCTAAATTATAAAATTTAATATGTTACAATTTTTCATTTTTCTAATGAAAACAATAATATAGATTTATCAGCTGTCTCTAATGATAAAAAAATAAAATAAAATGAGTGACATCTCATTTTTTGTATTAGAAAGAAAGACTAAAATAGCCATATAATTGATATAAAATGAATCAAAACAATAAAGTCCTTAATATTTTGCATGCTGTATAAATTATTTATTGTTAAAAATAAATTTGGAAATTAAATTAATATTTTTAATTTTTTAACTTAAAAAAACTAAAATTCCATATTGCTTTTATATTTTACATGTATATTTCTTGGAATATTAGTCAACAGAAATTTATTTATTTTCTATTCTGAGCTTTTTCAAATATTATTTGACAAAACAGTAATTCATTCTGAAATGACTACTTTATAAAATTAAATATATATTATTAAAATATGTAAATATTTAATGTAATATATGCATAATATGTTGAAAAACACTTCAAAATTCTGATGATACTGTTTATTTAGTTTAGTTAAAATAAAACAGACATTTTATCTGACAAATAATAGATGTAATTTCTGATATTGAAATACAGGATTATCCTAATATATATTAGAATAATACTGATGTGACTTTTTCATGAATTTAATATATGAATTATACTGAAAAAAATTATTTTCTTTCACAGAAGCTTGAATTTCTGATTCTTAATGTCTTTGCAATATTGTTTTTGGAATGAAGTTGAAAAAATAATGCATAATTTAACATAAAATATTACTCTATGTAAATTAAACAGTAAAATGACATTTTTATTTAAAGTTTTAAATAAAACTTGTTTAAACTTTTTAAAGACAAAAATTAAAAACTTCACATTTTAGAAAGATTAATATATTACTCTTGTAATATATTTGAATTGGTTTGGGAAAGAGCATGAGTCACAATTTAAAAATATTTTTCCAAGGTCATGATGTCTTTTCTAGTTTTCTTATGGTGTTTTATAAATCTAAAAAGTTATGTAGTTTTGATTATTTTAATTTTTACTCAAAGATTACACACATTAAAGATTACTTTAACAAAGTTTGTTATTTGATTTCTATATTCGATAAAATGAAAAAAAAAATAATCAAAATTAATAAAGAAATTATTATAAAAATTAATATTTTCAAGCAAAAAGAAAAACTCACTCTTTTTGATTAGTCAATCAATCAACTTCAACGATTGTTTAATTTACTATATTAATTTAGTCCTGTATATTTTTATATTTATTTTTAAAAAAAATTATTTTTAAATTGCAAAAAAGTATATTTCAGTTAATTTATTTTCCTCTTTTGTACAGTCTGAAAATTATAGATGGGAAAAAAATCACTAAAATCATTTGTAATGTTTCAAATATTGTCACAATTATTAAAATGTAAAGCATAAAGTTATATCAATATTTGGTTTGTTAGTCTACAAGTGTTGATTATTCTTATATTGCATCTTTAGTTTGCTTTTAGTTTTTACAATTTATAAAATAAGACAAATTAATCTATTTTTAGTTTCTAATTACAATGAAAGAATTTTCATAATGGAACTCTCATTTCTTGTTCAATTTTTTGAAAAGTTTACAACTTTAATATTACAGGTAATAATTATATAAACTTAATAAAAATAAAAGTTATAAATTAACATATTCAAATCACTAATAATTGAGAATCTGTCATCTTAATAAAATGTGTTATTTTGTCTAATATTAATTATGTCAGCACATCTCCAGAAAACAAGGACATATTCAATTAGAAGGAGCAAATCCATCCACTGAAGAAGTTAATGAGGGAACAGATGAATATTATGTTATTACATATTTAATATAATAAATTTGACAATATTTTCTATTTTATGAGATAATATGAATAAAATTGTTTTACTATTACTCAAAATATATTACTATCTCATGAAATTGAAACACTATCAAATAGCTTCATTTTCAGTTTATTACACATTTAGAATGTATGAATTTAAAATATGAAGATGAGGAATTTAATGAAATTTTTTCTAAAATCAAAATAAGTCAATAATTTTAATGATTACAGTAGAGCGTCGTTTATCCGAAAGAATTCCAGTCGGCAAATTTAAATTTTCACTAGTGCTGTGGCGCTGCAATCTTTGACTATATCTTGGGCTACTCCAATATTTTTTTTGTTGATGTGTGTTTTAGCTGGCAGCACTGGCACTTTTGTGTGGTGTTTTTCTGAGGAACTGTGTCGTGCTGAACAAACGTTTTTCATACTAGATTAACTTGTAAAGTATAATTTTATTTTTGTTTTTTATTTTTCAATATATTTATTTTGTTTGTAAAAAATAAATAAATAATTTTTAACGGTACAATAGCCACGATTATTATTTTAAAAAGTATAATTAGTTACAAGTATAAAAGTATTTTAAAAAGTATAATAAGATTACATTAGGCTTAACATCGACGAAAATTCAATGCGAAGCGACACGCAACGGAGAAAAATTTCAACATGGGATATTTTTTCGCGCATAATCGGTTATCCGAACAACCTCAGTCCCCAATTGATTCAGATAAACGACGCTCTACTGTATTAAGACAAAAAGTTGAATTTACTGTTATTTGAAGAATTATTACTTAATTTGCATAAATAGTAAGTTTTTAATATAAAATACATACTTCATAACCTCAGCTTTAACAAATATTGTGGTTAAAATCCTATCTTCATGTTATTGTGATTACTGTAGACTAACTGGTATTTTATATTTGTCATCAAAATTTATACCAGGGATAAAGTGTGTTTAGAAGTTAATTCTCTTAAGAATTCTGATATTATGTAACAAAATGTATTTATGAATGAAATATATGTGATATATTTTTATGTTTCTAGTTACAAATAACTTACTTTTAAAAATTGTACAAGTCAGAACATAAGTTAGAACCCATCAATCTAGTCAACATTTAAAATTTCAAATTTATAACTATTGTGAATTTATTCTTAACTATTACAAAAAATTTAAATTGAAATATATATTGTGATAAAATAAATATTCAATTTTTAGTAAATTGAAATTTTTAAATGCAATATTCAAATATACTTATTACAAAAATTACATCATATTTTAAAATAAAATTTATATTTATACTTACTGGCACTGGTTGTCCTTTTGGATTTTCAACTACTACTTTAACATCGCCTTTACCAGCACTGAAAGTTTCTACAGTGAAGTTAGTTGGAGCACCAACATTTACACCTGATGGTTCAATACCAGGACCATAGCATCGAACACGATTAGGATTGGTTCGAGGACGAAGAGGAGCATTTGGTTTAAGCTTGGCACTTGGAAATTGAGACAAATATGTCATCATTGATAGGTCATCAACATTTGGATTGACCATTTCTTCTGGCTTGACCAACTACAGTGAAATTGATAATGAGAAAAACTCATCAAATTATATAAATTATTTTAATATGATGTTTATACAGTAAAACCTGTGTAAACCAGAATCAAATAGAACCAAGTTATCTTTTTCCATTTTGGTAGGTTTCTTATTTTATTCAGGTTCCATTTTAGGCAGGTTTTACTATATATTCATGCATAAATTATATAAACATCAAATTTTCAATAACTCACTTGAGGAATTCCAAGCCATTTATCTGCTAAATCCATAGCTTCTTTTGCATTTTTAAGTGCATTAGCTGGTGTCCAATCTGGCCAGTCAGGACACAGACCTAATTGAAAAGTTTTAATTTAATTAATATGCTTAACAGTAAAATTTTTATGAATATTTGTCTAGCTATAATATAAGCTATGGACTTTCCAAAAAAAATTAAAATATATTCTGAAAGACATTTATATTGAAGAAGTTAGATTTTCCTAAATTTTAGGTGTATACAATAGTTACAGAAAATTTTATTATAGAATGTATGTTTCAACTTATATATTTTTTTAATAATTAAAATTTCAAAACAAAAAATCTCATTGAAAAAATATACAACATTTTTTAAAATTAACTGTTTTTGCATCATTGCATATATAAATATATACTGTACTTGTAAGATATTTTACACCCAACTTCCCAAAGCTATTAATATAAACCTAAACTAAATGTATCCTTTATTTTATAACACCATTTTAATGCATGATTACTCACCTGGAGCCACAGCATCCACAAGAGCTCCGACAGCTCTACCGTCATTCCAATCAGATGTGAAATTGTTAATAGGCACATCTGGTAATTTACTCTGAATCCATCCCAGTAAACGCTGCTTAGGAGATGGACCTGTTTTGTCGCCAAATTCTTCTCCTTCCCACATGGGAAGAGAGATGGAATAATGGAGGATAAGCGTCCATATTAAACCCAAAATTAACTTTAACTTGCAATCCACAATATCACTACTATCTGTAATGACAAAATATTAATTTCTTATAGAAACTAAAAACTATTTTTTAGAAAAACTAATTTATGAGTGATATAAATTTGAGTATACACATATCTAATACTGGAACATTAATTTTAAAGATATAAAGTAATTTCTTAGAAATTAGGCTATGTCTTAACCACATGTCAGAATCTGATAAGATTTTAATTTAATAACTTAAATTTTTCAGTATTGCTGGTTTACCAATATATTTTTAATTACATTTTATAACAAATTATTCCTTTCAATTGTAAATATAAATTTCTGATTTACAGAAATTAAATAAGCAAGTTAAATATGAAAATTAAAAACATTATCTATGTTAAAAAAAATTAAATAATTAATTAAATAGTAAAATAAACTATTTAATAAATTATTCAAGTATTTTGGTAGCATTAAAATAACTTTTTAATTAAGACATCATTAAAAGTATGGCACTCAAAATGTTCATTGAATAGTTCTACTGTTCCTTCAGTTGCTTTTTGATACTGAAAGGTTCTTAATTTGGTATTTTGAATATATCTTATGTGGCTACAATACTAAATATGTAATAAACTTAATTTAAATTAAGAATTTCCATGTAACAGATGAAATATACTAAAAACATTTAAACATATAAATGTTTATAGATATTTTTAAATTCTGATTAAATGGTGTATATATGAGTCAGATAGAATAAACAGTCAGATAAACCAATGCCTGTATTACTCATTTATTAGGATAAATATTAAATTTTCTGTAATAAAACTAATATTTTGGTTATTTACTTAACTATGCTTTGTTAAAATAGCACATATCTTGAATAAAAAAATTTTATAATCTGATGGACAGGAAGCAGTCACTCATTATCATTAATATAATCTTTAAAAAAAATAAACAAAAAAGTCTAGCATTCAGGTAATTCTAATTAGTGCATTTAAGTTATTCAGGTTTGCTTAGGACCATGTTCAAGCAAGCAAAACTTAAGACCGTATAATTAAATCAATTTTCACTCAGAGATGAATTTCACATCATTAGTACATATTAAACAAATTTAAATATTTAAATCATTTCACTGGACAAAAAGTAATCCATTTCCAGCAGTGACGTCACCAACAGGAAATGACGTAAGTCGTGACGTAATAAATTCAACCAATAAACTTCCAATTTTACTGTTATTTTTTATATTGAATAAATTTAAATTTGAATAGCAAACTGAAATTTAAATCAAATTATTACAAGCACTAAATAAATTATAGTATTTTTATATTATTATTTTGAAAATGAAAATTCAGTGTTAAGCCGCGAGAAATAATTAAAATGCTCGTGTCATATATTTTGCGTGAGAGTTGATAGGTAATATAAGCAAATATTTACCTTTTAGTGATTAGATATAGGGAGAATATACATAAAAATAAGATGAAAGACACAATTTAAATTCAGTTAGCTAACATTATATCAGAATTAATATAATTCATTAAAACTGCTACGGGAAAAATGGAGAAAAAACACGCACCAAGTTGTTTTCTGAATAAAGGAGAGTAGTGTACATTATAAGAGCGGATATATATGTTTATAAATAAATTACAGTAACAAGTTAAAAAATTTCTTGGAATTCTTGAAAGCCTACACAAAACCAATGGATGTTGGCCAGTTTTATTTATGTGTATACAGTGCTAGAGGCGAATAGAAATTAATACTTATGTTTAGCCATATTAAACAAATAGTCTATTTGATAGTACAGTAGTTATAAAACTGTATATCTTTGTAAATATTTTATATCTTCAGTAAACATAACATAAGTATTCATTTTCAGATTTATTTATTTATTTTGATAAACTCAATTTCTATATAAAGCAGATGCATTGTACTGTACTGTACATCCAAAGCTACGAACTAAATTATAATTTTTCCGAAAGATAAAAAAAGAAATACATTTTAAAAATTCATGAATTAGTCTGCATTTCTGAATATTTGCAGAATAAAAAATTTATTCTTTGCTAAAATTTTCATAAGACAAGCGGAAAGATGTATTTATATTGTGCTGTGTTAAAGAATTTGTGGAAGAATCAATAAAAGTACCGCTGCTGACTTGTAAATTACTTATAAGTTTAATATCCTATACTTTAATATTTGAATTAAAAAAATGCTATTTTAGAATTTATTTTTAATTTATAAAATTAAGAAATTTAATTTATATCAGTTTCAGTCAGTTAACGATTTAAAAAAATGAAGCAAAAAAAGTGTTAACAAGATTTAATATATTTGATCTTTCCTCGTCTTAACAAGCTTAATCCACTTGTCAAATCCACTTCAGAATTAAAAAAATAAAATCGAAATGCAATAAAGTCTGTTAAAATAAACAATACCAATTAAAAAAAAGTCTCGGAGAAAAAAACTGGAACGTTGTCAAAACTCAGTTATCTATCTCATCAGGTTAACGCATTCCGTCATTCAATCTAAGCATTCACGATAATTGATGTTAAGAAGCAGAACCAAGTTTCGCTGTAGTAAATTATGCAGTTTTAAAACAGATTTTCAAAATATTTTTTCTTATTTAACTATGTTACAACTATCTTTTGTTGTAACTCATTAATTACGTAAGTGATTCGATTCCTATAAAATGAATGACATGGCTGAAATCCAAGCTTATGTCTAGTTGGAAGAAATCCCAAACAAACACGTGGGTTTAAAAGTTTGCTGGTGGGTGCTACAGTAGTCGAAATAAAACATTATTTGGCATATTATATAAAATACATTCGCTAAATTTAACGAATTTGATCTGTATTTGAGTTGATCTACTAACTTTTGTTTGGGATATTGGACTAAGTATCGGTTGATACTTAATTTTCCCGTAACTTTAAATGGAAATAATGATAAAGTAGAAAATCATTCCGATAAGTAGTCATTGGAGTGGGAGATAAGAAAAATCGGCTTTTATCTAGAAAACTTGAACTTCCTCCCACGCCGTTTACATTCCACTTTGCTATAAGAAGTTGAGAGTTTGAGGGATGATTTGTTAATAATAAAAATATTTTAAAATTATATGAAAAAGCACAAGAAAAAAAAAATTAATGACATAATTCAACCATATTTTCAAAAATGAAAAATCAAAAATTGTATTTCAAAAAAGAAGCGATGGAATTTTAATATTTTTTAAAAATCAGAAGACAATTATATTATATTTCATTTATACTGTATATTAGATAAAAGTTATGAGGGATTAGGAATTTCATATCAATTTAATAAGAATTATTTATCAATAGCCAGATGTCTGTCTGTATATATATTAAAGAATGGACTAAGACAGTGCCACCTGGCTATTGATAAATAAACAATTTTTATAAAAAATTTATTGTAAAAAAAGCGGAAAAAAATCAATTCACGATTATTTTTATAAGATACAAATTAAAAAACATTAAAAAATTATTTGGCATTTTAATAAATTCCATTTGTATTCAACATTTAACATTCAAAGAAATTCAATCGGAGTTTGTAAAACTTTGATCTAAACAAAGTTCACTCTTTAACTTTAAACATACAAACGTGTCATACATGTGAAAATATAAATAAGTTTTTCAACTTAGCGTAACTTTTTAATCAGGTCAGAAATTTTATCCTTTTTATAAATCTGTTTAACGTTTCCAATAATTTAAACCCGCCACTCCGGAGGTTAAATAAGAGATAACTTGTTAGATCATGTGATATTTAATTTGGCCATTTAAAACTTTTTGCCATACATGTGAGAATATATTATTATTATTATAAGTTTAATATTGATTTTCCAATAAGAATAATATTCAGAAAAGGAAAGAATGCTAGAGGCATAATGACAAAAATGAAACGGAAACGAGGTTTGAAGAGATACTCTCTACCCTTTATCCTGTTAGCAAACACGCAGATAAATTTTCCTAAATCGTTAATTAATTATATAAAATTTGAGTTAAAAATTTTTTAAATTTAATTAGATGTATTATTAAATGGTGAATAAATAATTTTAAAACTGATGACAATTTTTTTTTAAGAAATATATTGAGTGTCGGTTTACTATCAGATGAAGAGTCATGCGACAGAACGAAAGAAAAACTAAATAGATCCATAAAATATCAGCTGTAAATTTTATGTTAGACATTAAATCGTAAAAATAAAACGATACAGTTTTTTTTTATTATTTATGATAAGTATAAAAATATTATTTTTCGAATTAATTTTGTTATATGTATTTGATGAAATTTAATACGGTATCGATGTTCGACTTATTTTTATAAAAAAGAAAATCTATTAAAATTTATTACGTAATAATTCAAACTGTCAAGAAAAATAAAAATGTTATCGCTCGATCACGTGACTCAATTTGTAGCCGGGCAGATCACGTGAGGCCAAATTAACAAATCCAATAAGATCTAACTTTCGATGAAAATTATTTCAAAAATTTACAATAATAATAATAATAAAATAAACTAAATTAACAGAATATCTTTATTAATTTTTATTCGAATTTGAAAATTCAAGTGAGCGAACATCGTCCGAGAGAGAATAAAACTCCAAACAGCAATTACGAAATTGATTAATAATTTATTAATATGATAAACATGTAGGACATTAATAAAAGCATGTAATTTTCAAACGCCGGTACGAAAGGAAAAAAAATGCCGAACGATCACGTGACGGAATTTTGTAGCCGGACAAATCCGATAAGCACGTGGTAACAAATTTTCGAAGCATCGATTGTACGGCAACATGCCTACGTACACGATCGAAAACATTAAAAATAAACATTTACAACACGAATAAAATACTACTATAGTGTTCTTTCATAGCTAGACATTCTTGTTTTTTTCTTTTTTCTATCCGGATGAACAAGGGTAGACAGAAGAAAGTTCTTTCACCTTTAACAACCTGTTCCATCTCGAATTTTAATGCTAATTAACAACCTTAGGGATTGTATCGTTATTGTATTTTTATTTATTTTTTAACTGCAAACAAGTACAATTCAATAATATAAATTTAAGTGTATTCATCTAGCAACTAAGTTGTAGAATTTATTATTAATAATTTTCCTACAACAAGTATTAAAAGAACAATTTTAATGTTCGATAAAGCGAAACCATAGTAAAAAAAAAGATTGTTTATGCGAATAAATAATAGAGCGGAAGGATAGTATCCTGCTGTATTTTTTATTCAAGTGAAAATGTACGTAACATGACATAAAAAAGTATTGAGAAACTATCTTAAAGTTTATAATTTTTCAATTAAAAAAAAAATATATTTTTTTTTAAAAATAATTCTTATTGTGTAAACGCCGAGAAAATTATGTTATTGTAGTATTTTAATATTCGTCTGTTCTAATATAAATTATCTTAATACACGTTACTTAAAACACCTGTTGACAACTGTTTCGGATACGAGCATATTTCGTTACTATTAAACGAAATTTTGTTTGTTTTATTCTATAAAAATACCAGATTAAATGTTATATTTTTGAATTTTTTTTTTTTTTTGGTTTTGAAAGTTGGATGATGGAATAAAAATCTAGAACCTATTCTGGAACGTTTTGCTGTTATTGAGGATATCGCTGTATAAAAGTATCCATATTTTATATCCCTTTATTAGAATTTTATACTATAATTATTGTTTCGAATGCCATTCCATTTTTGTCATTCCATCCTTGGAAAATGTTGAAAAAAAATAAATAAATAAAACTCCATTACTAATCCATTTTCTACAGCTGTTAATACGATGCGCGTATTAATGATACGAAGCTATATAAATTTTGATGGTATAAATACAAATAAGAGATGCAAATTATAGTCTTTCTTTATTAAAATAGAAAATTCGTAAAAATATAATAACGAAACTTGATACAAGTTAGCATCATCCGCATCAGTTTGTGTATTTAAACCTTTAATACTGGCAGGCAAATTATAATTTGTATTCAAGTTTTGAGCATGGTATTCTAACTTAATGAGATTAATAACCCTATAAAAATTAAATGCTTAAAGTTTTGAATTGAAAGAGAAAGTTGGATAAGTCCACGAAGGTAACTCATCACTCCTAGAAATATGAGATTCACCGTTGGATAAGAATGAATAAGAGTTCCTAATAAGGTACGACTTCCCACGCAGGAAAAGAAAAAAACAAACAAGAGAAGCGTTATGTGTCTATCAGAGAGAAACACTTCATATAAACGCCTGCCACTTCCGCTTTGAGTTGACATCAAACTGGAATTCCTGGAATGTTCCACCACCCAAACTCTTAGACACGTTACTAATCATTTTCTATAAACACCAGGAATAACAATTAACTCATTCTAGGATATGCAATTCTAGAGAATTCTTGAATGCTTGTCTATAACAAATTCTAAATAATGAGAGTAAATTTTTACTAAATTTAATTGACTGATTTCAAGAAGAAATTCAGTGTTATAGAAGCAATTATAATAAGCCTTTTAATTCAATTTTGAAAAAATAATTTAAATTGGATTATTTTAAAAAAAATAATAATAATTCTCTAGATTCCTAATTCATCTTGCACTGGAGTCAATAAATTCCATTTGAAATTGAAAAAAATAACTTTCAAGCTGAATTATAAAAAGTGTGATGTATTTTAAATGCTCATAGCCTTGTAAAATTGTAATTTAATCTTGAATTCGTAGCATCGTTTCTTATTTAAAACTGATTAAACGATTTCCTATCGCCAATTAAACCAAAAATTTCCGGACCATTCACGTGATCAGATTTCTAAATTCTGCTAACCATTACAAGAGTAATTACATACTAATTTCCTGGTAAATTTCCGTATATTATAATTATAAATAATTTATTATTTCCTATATACAATATATATATATATATATAGTACATAGAAAATATATATATATATAATAATGCACATCGTAACGATAAATGCAAATTCTTAAATTATAAGCAACGATAAACAATAAAATTAATCGCGAATAAATCTCGTCTAGTCTAAAACACTTATCAGAATTAGATAATTTTTATATATACAGCATTCCAGTCCTTCGAAACCATTCGAAAATGGAAGCTTTCTAGGTCAAAGTGGAGTGACGTAACCCAGTGACGTAACACGACACCGTGCACTGACAAGTCTTCGTAGATGTGCACCAAGCGCCGTGAACTGGTGGAGAATCCCGCAAATTACACATCGGCTTCGTAATTACGTCAGTAAACTCTCGGATAATGGTTTGTGGTTGAAATCGGGACATTACCTTAAAAGGGAAAAGCTGAAAGTGACGCGATTAAACATCACCCCCAATCGACTTGACCAACGAGACAGGTTAACTGACCCACTTGTTGCTGTGCCCATTTTTATCTTTTGTTGGGTCCGATCTCGAACATTATCGTAAAAACGTGAATTTTTAAAAATATGTTTCCTACGTTCACTAAAAGTGCAGTTGGAGTGTAAACGCGTAACGCGTCATTTACAGTATGCAACAAAACAAATGTCACTTTCAGCTGATTATCGCAATTCCTCTGATTCGTTTTGTAATTTAAAAAGTGAAATTTTAAGTATTATAAAATTGAAATGCATTTTTCATTTTAAGATTTTTTTTTGTTTTGAATAATCTGGATTTTAAGGCTAGTTAAAAACCAACTTTTAAGCTCAAAGCATCATGCAATTAACTGATTTTTTTGTTATTGAAATTGCACTGTTAACTGCCGACCTAATTTATTTCAAAATAAGATTCGATATAAAAATTTTATGTATTTAAAAGGGAGGAAAAATTTTTTTTAGAAAAATAGAACAACTATGACTGAGGTAATCTGTAATCCGCGTCATGTCATTATTCCTATGTTAAAACAGAAGTGCAAATGTCAACTGGATGCAATTATATGCAGATTTTTTTCCATGATAACGCATTATTCTTGTTTTTCCTTTCTGAATTTTAATTATTTCATCAGTAAATCAGTCTCTAAAAATATTGCTTTTAATTTACTGTTCAAAATTTAAATTTCTAAAAATCTTAAAACTTTTGACACCTGTTTCAGGCAACAATTCCCTCCCCCTGTAAAAGTATGATTTGTACAATTAAAATAAACGTTAAAAATCCAATTTTTGTTTAAATTTATCGTTTCAAGACTGCAATAATTTCTAAACCATTCACTTTGCATACTTATCATTGGTGATAACCGGTATATTTATCTTAAGAGCTGACAGACATTTCAGAAAGGTAAAGTTTCAAAACCGGACTTGTACTTTTCTCCAGGAATTTCCCATCAAGCACGGGCCAGACTGCCCCACCCAGTTTACCTGAATCTAACACGTGGTTTCGACAGACTTCATTCCACACTACTTACTACTTATCTGCAACAAACATTATAAAGTTAATAACTGAACTTACCAATGTTAACGATCTTAATTCCTTCGTCGTCTTCTAAGAATTTCAGTGCAACCGAAACGTTTTCTAACTTCTGAGATATGAAATTTGGTCTCTTGTTATGTTTTGGTAACTTTTTACCGGATAATACCTCAACTAAAGCTATTAGACGTAAACCATCCGAAAGATCTGTTTCTAAATTATTGATGTTTTTATTAGCAGTTTTAAGATGTTCATTGGCCCATCTGGTAAATGTATTTTGCTGAATCCGTTTCCAAGCAGCATCCTCGGCTAGGTCTCTCTCCATTTCGTCCTCCTCGCCTTCTGCCGGGACTTGTCCCGCCGACTTCTCTTCTGGCGATTGCATGGTCGCTCCGGCTGTTTGCCACTCCACTGGTCGCTCAAGTCACGTGACCCGGTGTCAATGGTGTGTGTATATCTAGCGGGAAACAAGCAACCGTATTAAAACATTTTCTATCGTTTAAAATTCCGTTACGAAATAATTTAATATAGTCATGTATATGGAACGAGTAAATATTCAAATATTTAATTTTATTGCGGAATTAAATGTTTTATGTTACATGTTCTATTGCGAAATTAAATGCAAATAATTAAAACGTAGGTAATTTTTAAATCAAATTATTGTTCTTTATAGAAAAAGTTTTGCCTGAAATAAAACTGAAAAAACACTAATGTCTACTCGTTCACTGATTATAGTCCACGCAGGCAAAGAATAGACATGAGTCAGTCTGAGCTGGAAGAATCTATGTCAGATGAAAGAATGGAAGGGGCCATGTGGCTAATCCCTTGGGAGTTGAGACATAGATCTGATCTGTTTCGGCTGCTTTGATTTTTACATTTCTAAAACATCTTTGTATCATCTTTATCATAAATAATTTTATTGCTTCTTTTACAAATTTTATTATTTACTTTTAATTCTAACGTTACTCACGAGTTAATCCTATGTCTTTTTTTATCTGACCTAAATCCTTCTTGCTCAGGTTGACTCATGTCTACTCTCTCACTGCACAAACTATATTTACATAATTACATGTACAGTAATTACATGTAAAATAAAACACATCTGCGATCTGAATTAGAGCATTGAAATATTTTGTGATTCAGAAATGAGAGTAAATATAAACGTTAACATCTAATTTTTTTTTCTTCTTTCTTTTCAAGCTCTGTTATATATATAACAGAGGGAAAGTATGGCGATTGGTCAAAAAATGACCTCTAAAGAATTTTAGGGGTCAATTGAGAGGAGGCTCAATTCTGTTCACCCTCTTTCAAGCTTAATAACTCCCGTGCTTTTTGTCGGAATTTTCTGAAATTTTACAGAGAGGTATATAAAGGTTATTATAAATTTATATTGTATATTAAGGTTATTGATGCTATTAAATTTTTGTAGTTAAAGGTTGAGGGGTGGGGAATAGACGAGAGTCGTGTCGTATTTCTCGAGTAGGGTCTGACTTAATAAAGATTTTTGTAGTTAAAGGTTGAGGGGTGGGGAATAGACGAGAGTCGTGTCGTATTTCTCGAGTAGGGTCTGACTTAATAAAGATTTACTCGTCATTAGCATTTACAATTTTTGTTTTGTGTTTTATAAAACTTATATCTACCCTCAAAATAAGGGTTCCGTCGTTTTATAATTGATTATATGAAAAGTTTATTAAATAAAATATCATGACAGATGGTGCCACATACAGTTTTAAATGTTGTTGACGGAAATGTTAAGCAACTCGTTGTTAGATTTGTTAAATAGTTTTTATGTAGAGTTTGATTAAGTAAAATAAAATATAAGGCATATATTAGACATTAAATTTTAAATTCAAAGTAAAATCTAGAAGTTATATTGAAGTCATTATAATGTAATTCAGTTGCTAAGAATACGAAAAACTAAGCTTAAAAGGGAATACAAGTTAATCTTTGAGATTAAGCTATTATTCTCTCCACAGATTAAAACGAATTAGGGGAAGATGCGCAAAATTCTAGAATAAATTCGCTATTTGAACTATTTAAATATTCGATTTACAATAGAAGACCAATATTCACTAAAGAGATCAGAATGTTTATCTTAAAGACATTTAATGAGATTAAGGAACTAAAGAGAATTAAATTTATTATTTTCGACACAGTTCGAAATTACTAGGATAAAACTCATGTTAATTGACTGGCTCCTATTAAATGAAAAAAAATTAAGTAATTTAATTTAAATTTATGTTAGTCGATAAAAAATAACAGATAATGATTTCTATATGAGGCTTGTAATATTATTATTCTTAAGTAAATTAATATAAAAGAAGCGAAAATTTGTAACATTGTCAAAAGATGGCGCGAGATACGCGATTGAGACTAACGTTGCGGCAATTACATCAGTGTAGTATCGTGTTAATGGCCTCAATAATCATTTTCCAATATTATTTGGCAATTGTAGCATATTGAATTAAGTTTCGCATCTTGTTTTTAATATAATTAAGATTAACTTATAGAGCGAAGTAAATTTAACGGATTAAAATATTTTATGCAAATTTAAACAGACATTAATGAAATTTGCTTATTTGAAGCTTAAAAATAAAGTTTGCAGTTGAATTCAAAATAATATTTTGTATCTTATCAATAACAGAAAGTTTAAAAATTTTAAATACATGACTTTTAAATTATAAATATTTAAAATATAAAGTTTAAATCAGTAAAATGGCATAGAAATTGTGATTAGAATAAAAGACATAAAGAACGGTGTACTTTCAGCAAACTGTAAATTACGTGTAAATGTAATTCAGAAAAATGTAAATTTTTAGAAAATTAACTGTAAAATTTATTAATATTTATTTTTGAAATTGTTTCATTTTTCTTAGAGTCTTAATTTGTTTTATTTCTTCTTCATTTTTATTCTTCATTCTTTCAAGATTTATAGTCAAAGTAGCTTGTTAATTTTTTATTGTGAAATATACCGGTAATTTCAAGTAAATTTAGTACAGTAGAGTCCCGAAAACTCGGTACTCGATAACCCGGCAGTCCGGATAACTCGGCNAGAAGAAAGTTCTTTCACCTTTAACAACCTGTTCCATCTCGAATTTTAATGCTAATTAACAACCTTAGGGATTGTATCGTTATTGTATTTTTATTTATTTTTTAAATCTACTCTATTATAAAAGTAGATTTTTAAAATTAAAATAATAATACATGATTTGAGAAAACTCTAAATGAAAATGGCTGATAATTCATAAATAAATGAACCCTTAAGAGGAATGTCGTACGAATGATATTGCAATAATTCGAAATATTTTCTACTAAGAAAACATTTCGTAAATATCAGAAGAAAATGTTAAATTTTGAAACTTTTAAGCAGAAGTGGAAGAGATAGTAACCAAGTTCAACCCCAAACATGTTGGAGATGGTTGAAGTTGACACCAAAATTGCGGTTAAAATAGGTTATTTTTATATCTTGGCATAAGAGAAAGAACCGCATCTGGAGTTTGGCCAGTATATTTTTCTCGAAAATTACAGGAGGATTGAAATCCATCCGTTTTGGATAAATGCGTTTCGTGCATCGCATCGGTTTAGTCACTCATCACGAAATACACACACACAACTACTGATTTAACAACAAATTTTCCATTTTTTAAAAAAATTCTACATCCAAAATTCGGCCCACTTTCCTCAATTATTAATAAGTTAAAGTTAATTTATCTCCTGTATCAATTTCGGTCGATTATGGACATAACCGCGCCAACCGAACAATAATTAACTTTAAAATTCAAGTTTAATGGCTATAAAATCTAAAATTTTGGGCATTTAAATTAATTGTTCCTCGATGGATTTTTTAAAAGATAAATAACAGCGATTGTGACGTAAATTTTTTTTTCTGAATTAAATTTCTAAAAATGGCGGACACGACCTTTTCTGGGTTATTTATAACAAATCCTTTTTGTAATAAGATTATTTTTTATATATTAAGCTGCTTTTAACTGTAGAGTATAGGCTACATTCAAATTGCCGTGTAAATAAGGAGGGAAGAGGAAAAAACAGTATAGACGATGTAACACATTTAATTTTTTTTTTTAATTAAATTTACAATTATTAAAAACAGTAAATTAATTTTTTATTTACATTTAGTAGACGAGTCCATTCTTTTCTAGAAGAATGGCAATCATTCCATACGATTGATGCACGAACCTATGCATAGAATTTAACACCTAAGGTCAAGGCAAATAGTAAACGAGTCGAAGACATTCACTATTATTTTTTTCTTTTTTTTGAACGTTCTCTCGCCAAAGTTTCCAGATTGGTTAAGTGTCATCCGAGAACCGTAAAATTCCGTTTCTTAAATGTGCAAGATTTGGAAAAAATGGTGCCTACGCATCCATTACTTCTAGATATAAATACGTGCAGGAATTTCTCTGCAAAAATCGTGTTATTTACTTTAATCGAATTCGTAGAAGTCGATGGGAAATGTATAGAAATTACACTAAGTTTNAGATTGTTTTTGTAACAAACATTTGTTTTATTTCTTCTTCATTTTTATTCTTCATTCTTTCAAGATTTATAGTCAAAGTAGCTTGTTAATTTTTTATTGTGAAATATACCGGTAATTTCAAGTAAATTTAGTACAGTAGAGTCCCGAAAACTCGGTACTCGATAACCCGGCAGTCCGGATAACTCGGCCGCACACTGGCAGGGCGAAAAAACCCCTAGTTCATTTTCATTATAGACAGATTTATGTTTCATAAAGTATTTTTCTGAGGTCTGTCTTATCAAGTAAATTACTGTACACTGTGTATTAATTAATTTTCATTTTCATGTAGTAAAGGCTCTATGCCTTCATAAAGTACTGTACGTATTTTTCCTTTGTTTAAGGGTATTTGGTCAGTTTACTCTTTGTTGTATTCTCAAGCAACCAATACATACAAATACAGTACAGTATTTTCTGAGAACTACACAAACGTAATTATTTTTTTTAACGCCATTCCCGATAAGCCAGCATTTTCACAAACTCGTGCACCTTTTGGTCCACATTAGGCCGAGTTTTCGGGACTCTACTGTATTGTTTTATAACATTATAATTCATTATAATGTTATAAAACTGAAANTTAAGTCATTTATGTATATATTTTTATATGTAAAACGCACCTAAACGTAACTTCTACTAAAATATTAAAGCGTATAACGCGCAAAACACTAAAAATATTCAAATTATACCGCATTTTATAAGATATTTTACCGTATTTTTAAACAGATTTAAATATAGATTAACATTTTGTAATATTAAATTCAAAAAGAACTAACGTAATCGAATTACTTCAAAAAAATGAATTATGACATATTCACTTTCGTTTTTTTTCTGATGATGCATTTTTTTTATTACTGTTATTTTAAAAATAAAATCCAGCTAATAAGTAAAATAAATTTTATTAATTAAAAAAAATAAATAAAAAATAGACGTAAATTTGCTAAGAAGGATGGTTGCAGATTACGTTTCATCTGACCAACCTTTAAACTTAATAAGGAGCACAAAGAGGAAAACGTGACTATTTTTTGTGATGTCATCTAGCGGACAGAAATTATTTTGATGGAGATGATTCATACTGAAATAAAATTTATAGCGCAAATGAAATGTAAAATTTATTATCTTGTTCCCAAAGAGATTAATATATTATATAGGGAATTTTTCTTCTTTTTTTTTGAAACGTTAAAAATATTAAAGTTAAATAACTCGATTTTACGTCATCGACAAAAATGTGAATGAAATCGGCTGCCGACGAAATACGCATGCGCATTTTTTAAATTGTTCTTATATTTATTTTTATTTTTTTCTTAAGTTTTCTTGTGATTTATTGTTATTTTTTTCCTTTTATTTCATTCTAAAACGATTAATTACGCAATAAATACATATTCAAAAATTTATAGGAAAATAATGCAATAATAATTACGTAATAACGATGACGTCATGCCGCATAGCAACCGAGTTAACTAGAAATTAATTATTACTATTTTTTTAAAATATATTTTACATCTTAATGAGATTTTAAATCGAATTTAATTTTTAAAAATTAAATTAAGCAATTTAATAAGTGATTTTGATCCTTATAAGGTTTATTTTGAAATTTTTACAAATGACGGGTTTATTTGACATAAATAAAGAGACAAAACTTAGCTTTGTCATCCAATTACATATTCATTTATGGTATTAACGATTTATCCCATATATCCTATTTCCTTAATAAGAAGAAAAATATGGTGACGTCACTCTGACGTCACAGGTATACATTTTTATAAATCACAAAAAAAAAGTGGAAATGATCGATGGGCCAAATAACATGGCGAAACTCATAATTATATTTAAACGCCAGCATTTTTTTAATAGAATGATGTAATGCTATTAAATAGGATAAGAAATAGAAGATTTTTCCATTGTTAGGATAGAGCAGACATTATTGTAAGCTGACTAAGTTGCAGAGAATTTGCTACTCTTGGCAAGGTGTAACCGAAACTCCACTGGAAGATACTATAATTATTTCACACAAACAAAAGGTAAAAGGATCAGAAATTATACGAAAAAAATTCTTAAAATACAAGGAAAAAAAGAAAAAGCGATTCTTTAATTGTGAATTTCGAAAATGTCCGCATAGATAAATGGAGAATTATCTTAACTTTAAAATATTTATGTATTTAATTATTGAAATAATTAATAAGTAATCGTTATTTCTATATTAAAGATTTGTTTTTAAATGCAGTTTAGCATAATGTTTAATAAAAAATGTGCTACAGATAGCGAAAAATATTAAATAAATTATAAAATTATTGACGAATTTGAAAAATTGATGTCGGCATTTATTGAAATAAGGATTTTTGTTAAAAGAGAACCCGAATACAAATGAAAACGTTCGTATATTTTTGACCATTTTGCGAAAGAAGTTTTGCAACAGCCGAAAACATTTTGTAATTTATTTTAAGAAAAATATATAAACAAAAGTGAACTATTTAGAATATGAAAAGAAAGAAAAATATGAATAATTTATAGGTTAAAAATTAGAATAAATAATATAGATTTACACTTTGCAAAGTCGTATATATATATTATATGTAAGTTAATTTGAGTTATAAATGATTAATAATAATAATAATTTATCACATTTAAAATTAATGTAATTTTTATTTTAATAATAATGTTTAATTTCAAACGTTTCGATTAAATCATTAATAATATTTTAATTAAAGTTATCGATTTTATTCACCAGAGGTCGACACGTGTATGGAGGAACGCGATGTCCGAATTTCAATTTTCTGCGACTAAATACATATAAAAATTTATTAATATATAATATGAAAATTGCATTTTAAATAAATTTTTGTAAGAAGAATCACATCTACATATAAATTCTTTAAAATTAAAATAATAATACATGATTTGAGAAAACTCTAAATGAAAATGGCTGATAATTCATAAATAAATGAACCCTTAAGAGGAATGTCGTACGAATGATATTGCAATAATTCGAAATATTTTCTACTAAGAAAACATTTCGTAAATATCAGAAGAAAATGTTAAATTTTGAAACTTTTAAGCAGAAGTGGAAGAGATAGTAACCAAGTTCAACCCCAAACATGTTGGAGATGGTTGAAGTTGACACCAAAATTGCGGTTAAAATAGGTTATTTTTATATCTTGGCATAAGAGAAAGAACCGCATCTGGAGTTTGGCCAGTATATTTTTCTCGAAAATTACAGGAGGATTGAAATCCATCCGTTTTGGATAAATGCGTTTCGTGCATCGCATCGGTTTAGTCACTCATCACGAAATACACACACACAACTACTGATTTAACAACAAATTTTCCATTTTTTAAAAAAATTCTACATCCAAAATTCGGCCCACTTTCCTCAATTATTAATAAGTTAAAGTTAATTTATCTCCTGTATCAATTTCGGTCGATTATGGACATAACCGCGCCAACCGAACAATAATTAACTTTAAAATTCAAGTTTAATGGCTATAAAATCTAAAATTTTGGGCATTTAAATTAATTGTTCCTCGATGGATTTTTTAAAAGATAAATAACAGCGATTGTGACGTAAATTTTTTTTTCTGAATTAAATTTCTAAAAATGGCGGACACGACCTTTTCTGGGTTATTTATAACAAATCCTTTTTGTAATAAGATTATTTTTTATATATTAAGCTGCTTTTAACTGTAGAGTATAGGCTACATTCAAATTGCCGTGTAAATAAGGAGGGAAGAGGAAAAAACAGTATAGACGATGTAACACATTTAATTTTTTTTTTTAATTAAATTTACAATTATTAAAAACAGTAAATTAATTTTTTATTTACATTTAGTAGACGAGTCCATTCTTTTCTAGAAGAATGGCAATCATTCCATACGATTGATGCACGAACCTATGCATAGAATTTAACACCTAAGGTCAAGGCAAATAGTAAACGAGTCGAAGACATTCACTATTATTTTTTTCTTTTTTTTGAACGTTCTCTCGCCAAAGTTTCCAGATTGGTTAAGTGTCATCCGAGAACCGTAAAATTCCGTTTCTTAAATGTGCAAGATTTGGAAAAAATGGTGCCTACGCATCCATTACTTCTAGATATAAATACGTGCAGGAATTTCTCTGCAAAAATCGTGTTATTTACTTTAATCGAATTCGTAGAAGTCGATGGGAAATGTATAGAAATTACACTAAGTTTGCTTCCTCTTCCTTTATAATTAATTTTACAAACAAACAAAAGGATCGTATTGTTTGTATGGAAGTTAAAATATTTTACTTTCACAGTTAAAGAAATATGGAACAATCTGACAGTGTTAAAATACAATTAAGCTATCGTCATTGTAAGTTAATTGTTCCGAAAAGTGATTTTGTTAACGTTTACTTCTCTTACTTATGCAATAAAATGCAACATTATAACACAACATTATTCGACTAAGTATTATTTTAATACGTTTCATTATTACGTCAATCATAAAAAGCGGGAAAAAATCTTATTTTACTGATTAGCGTGAGTATTGTGACGCAACAAAAAAAAAAAATAACGCTATAATGCGATGGCAATAATTAAGATATCACATTGTTACATCACAATCAGAATTTCGTACTATGACGTAATAATTAGTTTTGTAAATTTTAACAATATCAAACAATGAATGTAAGAATCACTTGTTGTGACATAATCAATAAAGTGATGACGCCATAATTAATTAAAATATAGCGCTGTGACGTAATAATCAGTTAGGATCCCATCGTATTGTGATGTAAAAGATTTAAAAGCGGAAAAACAAGACATTCGACAGAAATTACGTGACCGGCTAAATACGTAAAGCGTGATAAAGTTTTTAATTTTTCATCGACGGTAATGAATCGAAATTTAAATTACGTAATCATTCGAAGAAAACTTAACTTAACCAACCGATGTGCACTTATAAACAATTTACTTTACTATTATTAGACATCAGTGTCAGACGTAAATAGCGGGATGATGAGTGTGCAGCCAGATCTATACAGTTCATCAACTCGAGTCACCCCCTTCTTACAATAATACATTCGATAAACACGAACGCAATTGGTACAACGTCGTATCCATATCTAGATATATATTTCGTCCATTTCCATATTAGAAGATAACACCGCCGACCCGTATTAAACAAAATTGTGTCAGCTAAATCCCCCCTTTGAACTGTTAGTGGGGGGGAGAGCTGTATTTTTTCGGCTAGACGTTTTATAAAATTAAAATGTAGTCGGTCACGATGCCGAACGTCATGAAACTTTTTACATTATGCAAGAATTAAAGATTTCTTGTTACGTAGTTTACGTCTCACGTATCGGATTACGTAACTCACTTTACGTTCCGTTAATCCGATACTGGTGTGAGGACAAAATACACGTTGTCTGAGGTCGACCACGAGACGCGAATGACTGGCATTTAACCAAATAAAATAAATGTTCTCATTTTAAAATTGTTTTGCAACGCGTGAAGCTGTGTGGATGCCAGCTTTTATGCATCCTCTTGATAGAATTTTCAGATGCGAAGGCGTATAACACTGCATTTGAGGTAATGTTCGGACATTTGTACGAAATTACGAGGCAATTTTTAACCGTGGCAAGGTTTCCTCGCGCAGAAAACGGTTCAAAACGAAGATGACAACTATCGAAATCTTATGTCACGTTTGTGGGAACGAAAAGTTCGCAAAATTTTCATTAAATCGAAAGAAACGTACAGGGTGTGGCGCGGCACCTGCGTGACGTCTTCACTGCAAAGCCACCTGGAGCATCAGAAATTTACGAAATTAAATCGAAATTATCATAAATAAGGAAGCGTAAAGAACGAACCATTCAAACTGTTAATTTTACTTCGCATATTGGAGATTTAATGGAAATGCAAAATTTTCACACTTACCGCTAAAAAGTAACGCTATTCCTTTCGATAAACTAGTCAAAGCGATGTCTATCTATAGTTACTTCTCCAAAGTTACTCACAAGGGAGGAAACCCTACCCCCAACTCTGTCGACCAATGGCGTCGTGGATATATATATATACGTCTGTTCGATCATACAGTCGCTACTGTGTCCATTGGTTAAGACATCCGTCTACAAATAAAATCTCTTGTCGGCGTGATGTTTTTCTTTTTGTTTTTTATTTGTAATTTTGTTTTTCTTACTCCCTTCTGGAAAACGCTCGTGAACGTAACTATGACGGAAACTCCTCCCAATTTTCTAGTTCTTTGAGTTCACGATGTTGGCCCCAATATTTGGAAGACGTTTTGTGCCAAATTTGGGCAGTGCAAACTGAGACTGCGGTTTGTGGTGTCGTGGGGGTGGTGGCTGTTACGCAAAAGCATCTGTACTGGTTGTTTAACTTCCTTAGAATGTTTTTTTTTCGTATGAAACTGTTAACTGTGAAAGTATTAAAATCCCCCTCCTACAGGATTTATTTTTTGATCTGGAAACTTTCAGGGGGATGCTACAAGTATGTTTTTCTCCTTATCTTAAGATCTCCCCCTGTAATTTCTAAACAAAAAACACAAACAAACACACAAAAGAAGATACAACTGGTATTAGAATGAATGCTGAAGGATCTTTTTATTTAATAAATCAAATTCAAAAGTAAATCATCACTTTCACAACATACCATGATCCAAGCATTCTGTAAAATGTCAGCTACTTTATCTCCCTATACCCGTGATATATAGTGCATTATGTACACATTGCTTTTATTTTGGCTTTCTATATGAACTGCTGCCATATTTACAGTATTATTATTATTATTTTTATTTTTTCCTTGTTTTCATTTAAAATAAACGATAACTGGTGATGGATGAATGGTACATTGAAGCTGAAAACGAAATGTGGAGTCTTACCCGTGCTGGGTTCTACGATATTATTACTAACTGGTTGTAAATCTCATATACACGATACATTTTTAAGTGGGAACTGGAGTTTGATTTGCCTCGTAACGTCTCCTTGCACTCTTGCAAGGATTTCGAGAAATTCTTGGCAAGTTTTATGTACATTGTGATATAAAATCCATAACTCGGTTCTTTGCCCCGAAGAAATTTGCTCTTGGGTAGAAAAACTGACTTTTGAAAATGACACTTCTGCCATTTACTAGTCCAACAGAATACAAAGTGCAGAAATATATCATGGGAAAATAACTTGACGTCAAACGAACGAACCAAATTTTCGAGACACGCATAGGATTCATTCTATTTTCAAAGCAGAAATTACTTAAAAAAAACTCTAATTGAAAAAAATTATTATCACAGGAATGTGGAGATTCTAAATTACAGATAATATCACATCCTGCTTCTGTACAAGTTTTACACTAATCTAATAACACTTTAACAAATAAATAATGGAAAGCAAATCCGACATTATGGTCTTGTATGTACTAGAGCATACAGTGCAATATTTTATATATATTTATAGTTCAGATTTGTTTCTCTCTCAAAACAAATATCCAATTTATACACAAGTTTTTCTTTTGGTATAAAACTGTTTCCTTTCTTAAATGGATACATTATTTGTAACCTATCATAAATCTGTCTTAATTTAATTATGCTTTACAAATTATAAGTTGACAACTGTCGAAACACATTAAAGCACTAAGCAAATGAAACACTGTAAACTGAAACACCAGCTGCCACACCACTGTGGTGATGGAGCAGCGAGTAGTATGAATGGACCACCATAAATTCTAGTTAGCTTGTACATGATTTAATTATGATGTGATTCCAATAATTCTAACATTGAGTTTGTGCTGCTGTTTTAAATTCTTGTATGCTTAAAAAAATATCCATTCGGAGGCCAGGACTAGTGAAGGTTTCACGACTGGCATGCGAAAAGCGGGATGTGGCCAACAGAGGTGATATGACAAAAGTTCCGTCGCTCGTTTATCCAAATCAAGTCAGATTGGTAGAATCTGCAGTTGCTGTCAGATGTGAAAGAAAAGGATAAAATGCTATAATTATGGCCAGAAGTAAGATGATCAGAGGGATGAACGAACATGCCGAGACCTGGAAGAGATGAACGTTTCAATAACATGTACTGAATTTTTAAATTATGGATTATTTTATTTAATAAATTACCGTTTTAGTTTGCAAAGTCACCAATTTAAATTCTTCCGTGAGTGCGTCAAGATCTCTCTGAATATTGGCTTTTTGTGTACTGCATTCAGCAAACTTTTCTTTTAGTAGTAATATTTCTTCATTAGCTTCTTTCAACTATAAAAATAAATGTAAGCAATATAAATAAAAATTTAAATAACAGTTTAAATTAAAATAATTAATTTAAAAGAAAAAAAACACACCTCTTTTTCTTTGCTGTCCACTTTTTTACGAAGTTCAATTAATGTTTCTTTCAAGTAATCGCCTCCTTTATTTTCAAGTGCTAAATTAAAGGATTCAAGTTTCCTGTTTGATTCTTGCAAACATGCATAATCTGCTTGTAATTTTATATTTTCATTCCTAAAACTGAAAAATAAATGATACCGTAAGCTCACCAAGCATGTGAAAAAGGAAAATTTACTTTAATTTGCTTACGTTCTTATTTCGGCTTCCATTGCTTTTATCCTAGCTCTGAGAAGTGCACATTCTTCTTGAAGTGTATTACATTCAGCAGTTTTTTGTTCTAAGGTTTTATCATGATTTGATTGGCTTTTAGCATCCTCTGTTAAAATTTTAATTTTCACTAATAAAACAAATAACAAATTTCATCATTTTATAAAAACTGGAGAAAAAAATTAAAATATTAATTCAATATTTACTTTTAAGTTGTTCAGCTTCATTTTGACTTTGCTTACAGATTTGTTGAGTCTCTTGTAATTGTTCTAGATAAAAAAATTTGGATAAGTTAAAATAACATGAATTAAAACAATGTTGTTACATCAATGACACATTTCAACATCTCAAACTGGACTAAACTAATTTCGTACGTTTTGTCTGTTCCAAGTTTTCAATTAGTTTTTGATGAGCTTCTTGTTCTTCCAATGCTATAATATTACCCAGAAAATATAAAAGAAGAAAGCAAAACATGAACAAAAATTAAAAATAAAAAATAAATCCAAGTAAAAAATAAATTTACATTCTATTAAATTTCAATAAACTTTATTGTTTAACAAAGTAAAAACATATTTAAATCATTTTTACTTCTTAAAAAATTATATCCCCAAATTTGAATCTCTTAATTACTCATTCAAAAACACACATTAGCATCAACAAAAACAAAAAAATTAAGCAAAAATTAAATATAAAGAAAAAATCATATTTTTTTAATTCTGCATAATTTAAAACATTTTTCAATTCTATATTATATGAAAGTGAGTCTTACTTTTTAGAGTGTTGGTCTCTTCTTGTTTCAAATGACTTAATTGTTCTTCACCATTTAATTTTTGGAGAAGAACAGAAATCTCTTGTTTTGTTTCTTGATTAGTAATTTCTGCATTTGATAATTGTTCTAAAATTTTAAAAATAGATTCATTAAAGAATAAACATTCAAAAAATGTATTAAGCTGTAAAAATTTTAATATAAAACAATCTGCTACCTTGCAATTTGTTTATTACATCAGATCTTTCATTCAACTGTTTTTTTGTTTGCTGTAATTGTTGTTGAAGCAAACTTGTATCATCATTCATTTTCTTTTCTTTAACTTCTGATTCATTTAATTGTTCTACAATATCAAGTTTATTATTTTTAAAATAAATAATCTCAAAACAAAATGTTTTAAATTAACAATAAATTTACATACCTCTTAGATGCAAAATTTCTTCCTCGATAATTTTTTTATTTTGACGTGTTTCAGCTAATAATTCTAAGAATACAAAATTCTTATTTAATTTTTTCAAAGTTTATAGAAATGACAAAATATTCTGCACTAATTAAACAAGTTTTTTTTTTTTGGTTTGATTCATAAACTTTTTAAAACAAACAAAAATATTTAAAATTTAGAATAATTTTTGGGTATAATAATAAATTACTGGCGAACAAAAGCCTTTAAAATCCAAAAGATTTATAAAAAAAAATATTTTCAGCCTCTTCAGATTCTATAATCAAATAAATTCAAAATACAAATGCTCAAACCTGAAGATGTTAGTTCAGGCAGTTGTATTTTGAATATGTTCCATTATTATTGAGTCCTATGACATGGGTGGTGAACCTAAGGCACATATGCCCAAAGTGGCACATAAAGAGAAACATCTGGCACATAATGTATCATGATTTCGATTTATCATCTGTGTTTTTCAATCATTCTTTTTTAATCAGCTTCTTTACATTTATTCTAATTAAAGCATATTCATTTAATTTCTTTAAATATTATTATTCAAAGTCTAAAAGTTTAGTTCAAACACTGTAAGACTGGAATAAAGTATTATCATAAAAAATGCAAGCCTATGAACCTTATTAAACTTTGGCATTCATAAACATCTTTAAAGCTAAGTTTGTTTACTATTATATGCTATTATTATTATTTGTTTACTATTAAGTTTGTTTACTACTATAAGCTTTATGTTTACTATATGGTAAACGGCTCAAAAAGATTTGCCATCCCTGTCCTATGAGATTTGTTGATCAGGTTGTGAAACTCACTAGTCACTTGCTGGAACTTCAATGGTAACAGCATTTCAAACAGTCTAAGACTAGGAATACTTTAGAACAGCTTCACCTATCTTTTCACCTTATAGACCTTATTGTTTGATAATGAACAGTGAATGAAAAGAGAATCTGATGGAGGATATTGAAAATAACTGAAAACATTTGTTCTTCATAAATATGCTTTTTTTTGGTCTGATTAAAACTCTTATTTGAATTACAGATGTTTTATTTAGATCTTAAAAGATCTAAATGAAACATATATAAATAATGAAATAAAAAAATTTTTATTCATTATTTATATATTGGACAGTTATTCACATTCAGCAATGTTTTTCATACAGATGTGAGAAATATTATAGTACTATGTTCTATTCTTCTATATCAGGTATAAAAATAATTTTTCTGCTTTTAATTTTTATAAACAGAAATGTTAAAAATTAAAAACAGAATTATTAAATGACAATTCTGTTTCTGATCTTTTTGTGTAATGATTCATTTCTATGTAACTACAGCAATGTTTTTAACATGTTTCCTTATAAAATATGCCAAACAGTATTACAAAAATTAAATAAAATGACAATGATCTGTAATAATTTGTTAAAATTTGGTTAATTTTTATTAATTGTAAGTGATATGTTAAGATTTACTAGTAAACAATAAAGTTGTAAATAAATAAGAAAAATTAGAACAAATTAACAGAATTCATACCAAAAACATGCAAAAGTTTATGATAAATTATTAAATTTTATTAATAATTAATTAATTAAAGCATGCAAAACAAATAAAAGTATAGTAAAATAGAATAAATTAACATAATTAAGAAGAATTAAAATGAAAACCCACTACCTTGCAAAAGTGTTACAGAACATGCCAATTGACGAACAGATAATTCTAGATGGTCATTCCGCACTAACATGAGAACAGAATAAAACTTAATGCATGCAAACAACAAATTTCTCAAACCACTTTGACAATAATACAAAAGAAAAAACAAATATTAAACATTTACAAACTTCTTAATTTTTGATTTCTACCTTTAAGTTTCTGAACTTCTTTCTGAAGTTCATTTGTATTATCATGTTGTATTTCATCATGTAAATCGCCATTAGGTTTATTGGAAGGATAAACAATAGTTAAAGTTGTTGTATTTACGTCATTTTCTGTTTGAACTTTCTGTAGTTCAATTTCTAATCTGTTTACTTCTGCTACAGATATAATAGATTAAGTAAGTCATCATTTTCAACTATATTGCCATTAGTTAAAACAGACTTTTCAAATACCTTGAAGTTCTTTAGCAAGATTACTGCACTTTTCTTCTTCTTCTTTGGATTCTCTTAACTGAGCTAAAATTTTAAATTAAATTAAATACAAATGATATAAAATATATACAAAATTTTTAATTTATTGTACCTTTAAGCTTCCCAATTTCATCATCATCATTTGGTAAAATAACATCTAATTGTAGAAAACAAACAAACAAATTATCCACATTTTCATGTAAAAAACTTTAGTTCTTAGCTTTGTATTATTTCACATACCTTGTGTGATTATTGATATTCCATTACTGTCTACATTTTCATCCAAATTGTGTTCTTTTTTCATTTGTTCAAAACGAGCTAAACAAGATGTCAAATATGCAAATTATATAATTAGAATTTTTGAAACTAGAAGAGTAAAGTTTTCATTACCTTTCATCACAACCAATTGCTGTTTTGTAAAATCACAATCAGCTTGAATGCTTTCAATCTATAAAACAGTTAAATTGTCAAATAATCTGTTTTCTCCCTANAGAAATTTTTTACTTTTAGTTTACTATTAAAACAAATTTTATAAATAATAAAAAAATAAAAATACCTCTAAATCTTGTACTTTTCTTATTGCTTCCAATTTTTCTTGTAATACTTTCCTTAAAGATTCCTATTAAAAATAAATAATAATATATATTATTTATAGCTAAGCAAAACTAATATACCTCAAATAATATCATTCTGTATATCTTATTTTCTAAAAGAACTTTTATTTAAGATCATTTATTACACTTCAAAATAAATTTTAAAAATGTTCAGTCAAATTTAAGATAACTATAAAAATATCTAAATAATTTTTCCATTTTTAAAGATAATGTAATTAACTACATGCTTTAAAGGTAAAGTTATTCTCAGGTGACCAGAATAGTAGTGTTAAGTTATGGATTAAATAAATAGTTTTTTAAAAACATATTTTAAATCTACTAGAAATGTAATAATACAACAGTTACAAACATGATTATTATTATAGTAGTAATTCATTTGTTGAAGTGAACCTAAATATACCTTAATTCCTTCTCAAAATTATTGTATTTCTATGCAAATAAGAGCATGTTCTTATGTGTGAAAAGTGCTTGTTTTTGTTTATGAAACATGTCCTACTTTGCTATAAGGGCAGGCTCTTATCTGTGGCAGTTTGTTTTAGCTTATAAGAGCACTGCACTGCACTGCTATGTCAATGTAAATTAAATATAAATATATTGATAAAGTAACTATTCAGTGACATCTCTGTGGTAACCATCATTAAAAATAAAAAGTCAAAATAAGAAAATGCTTCTGATATTATAAAGATTTTTTTTAAATAATGAGTTTTTTTAAGGTACTTTGCAAAGCATAATGCTAATTTGGCCCCTATATAAGAGCATGCTTTTATATGTAAAAAATATGGTGTGTAAAAAGTACATTGAACTGATTGATTGATATGAAATGTTTGAGAAGCAGCAGACTTCTTGCAAAAAATGAAATTATAATTCAAAAGAAATTGTGAAGTACATTATCAGAAAAATTTGAATCTCAAAAAAGTCAAATGTTTTGTGCATTAAAAAATATCAAATAAAGTTCAACCTTCAACACCTAATAGGACATAATGTCTAAGAAGTGGATTGTTATCTGTCTACCTTTAAAGTGTTTTTAATAGTAATTTTCTCTGTGTAAATTATATTTTCTTTTTTCTCATTGTCAATTATTATTTTGTCAATGCTTGAAAAAAATTTACAGTAATATATAAGTAATCATATTCAAGAAATCCTAAAACATGTTATTGAAAAAAAATGTCAACTTAATATGAATCATAATATAAAATTTTTATATAATTTTATAAAAGTTGAATAGAAGTTAAACTAATCACTGTAGTTAACATAAGGAAGTAAATAATACACCTCCAACTTTATCCACTGTTAAAGGTTTATTGCTAACTTCATTACAATTTTATGTATTATGAGAAGATAAAATGTATTAGTTGTAATTAATTTGTTTATAATAAATCCATGTAATAATAAAGTACATTTTAATCAATTTTAACAACATTAATTTTAAAATTTTATTTACCTGCAATTTCTTGTTCAAATCAATAATTTCCTTATGGTTCTTATCATTTTTTTCAGTTAATAACCTGAGTTCTTTTTCTCTATTATCATACACTTCCCGTAAGTGAGAACATTTCTCTTCTGTATTTGATAAGGTATTCTAAAGATAATTTATACAGGTCAACTTAAGTAAACAATATAAATAGTAATTTGCTAAAATTTTAAATAAGTTTTTTAGTTTTATATAAAGAATATTTGACGAATGATACTTGATATTATATAATAAAAATATGTAACAAATATTAATATCAGATATAAATATTAGCATTTGAAATAAACAGATTACAATTATAAATCTGTAAACAATCCATAAATCAAACTTTTCATGAATTATACAATTTTCAATCTTTTTTCAAAATATATTAATTCAAAAGCATTAAAAGTACAAAGAAAACTCACATATGAGAATGTTGCTTCTAATAAAAATGATCTATATATATATAAAATACACAATAAATTGTTATTTTATATTACAGCTTCACTAATTTTTAATAAGATTTTTTAATATTTTTAGCTAACATTGAGATCTACGAAAAAATATTTTCTTAATTTCTTAAGAACTTAATTTTGGATTAAAGAGACATACATACATAGATAAAAAATATTTTCTTTCAGCACTCAGATTTTATTATGTATTAAAATGATCTAAAACTACAGCTTATGTATTGAGTTGCACAANACAAAATTAAATTACAAATTTTATTTATCAAAGAAAATACTACGTGTTCAGTCCTAGGGTCAGAGTCTGCTTCCTAGAACGATTGTGGGTGGTACTGTCACCACCTGATTCGGTGGGGTGAGATGCGCCACCCCTTTAAATGACGTGACAGTGGGTTAGTCTGCATAGCTCTCATACTTGTGTTGTAGTTTAACATCAAATCAGATAAAATGGCTAGCTTAAATAGGAAAGCGTTAACGTTAGACTGCAAAGTAGAAATAATTAAAGCAGTTGAAAGTGGAAGAAAAAAGGCAGATGTATGCAGAGACTTTGGTTTAGCAAATTCTACAGTGTGCACAATAATAAAAAACAGAGAGAAAATTTTGAAAAGTTTTCAAGATGGCAAGGGACAAGTGAAAAAAATTAAGTTATGTGAAAAAGTCAATATTGATGACGCTCTAATTAAGTGGTTTAACCAATGCAGAAGTTCCAACTTACCACTAAATGGACTAATGGAAAAAGCAGAAGAATTTGGACGACTACTAGGCGATACTAACTTTAAATGTTCTAATGGATGGCTAGACCGTTTTAAACAAAGACATAACATAAGTTTTGGGAAAGTGTGTGGAGAAGCAAAAAGTGTAAATTTACTGGACGTTGAAAACTGGTTAAGAGATGTGTGGCCTAAACTAAGGGGAGAATATGCAGATGAAGACATTTATAATGCAGATGAAACCGGGATATTTTACAAACTTTTACCAGATAAAACATTTAAATTTAAAAAGGAAAAGTGTGTTGTTGGAAAACTTGCGAAAGATAGAATAACAGCTTTTGTTTGTGCTAATATGACTGGTACAGACAAAAGAAAACTTCTTGTAATAGGAAAATCAAAGAATCCAAGATGTTTTAAAAACATAAAAACACTACCAGTAAATTACAAAGCGAACAAAAAGTCATGGATGACGTCTGAGATTTTTGAAGAAGAAATTCGAAAATGGGATAAAGAACTTATTGGTAAATGAAAAAAGTTTTACTCCTTGTCGATAATTGCCCAGCACATCCAATTTTAGAAAATTTAAAGAACATCAAACTTGTATTCCTTCCTCCGAATTGTACTAGCGTACTTCAACCAATGGATCAAGGAATTATAAGAAGCCTTAAATCTCACTTCAGAAAAATTCTTTTACAAAAAATTATAACAAATATGGAAGATAAAAATAAAATGGCAATTTCTTTATTAGATGCAATTGATTTTTTGGAAAAATCTTGGTGTAAGGTTAGTTCGCTAATAATAGCAAACTGTTTTCACCATGCAAAATTGTGTAATAGTCAAACAGCTATTACATTTACGAAAGATGACAATGAGGACAATGACATTCCTCTATCGGAATTAATTAAAACACTTCAGAGTTCAGAAAATGGCGAATTTTTGTTATCTTCTGCTACTGAATATGAGTGTGTAGATGAAAATTTAATAACATCTCAATTTTATACAGATGCAGATATTATTTAGCAAATTAAATGTTCAGACGAAAAAAATGTGGATGATGATGATGATAATAATGATGATGAAATATCAAACAGAGAAACTGCAGTGCCGTCAACTAAGGAAGCGAGTAATGCGATAAAATTATTGAAAATGTTTTACAGGTCTCGTAAAACTTCATCGGAAATAATGAACAAAATCTACGACTTAGAAAATGACATTGATAAACAATTTTTAGGTGAAAAATGCCTACAATCTAAAATAACTGACTATTTTTAAGTGAATATTTTTATTGTTTCTTTTTAATTGATATACATTATTTAATCTAAAAGTGAAAGATATTTGACTTCTTGTCCATTGTTAGATAAGCAAGAAACGAGAAAATTATCATCCAGGCGTTAACAANCAAAATCTACGACTTAGAAAATGACATTGATAAACAATTTTTAGGTGAAAAATGCCTACAATCTAAAATAACTGACTTTTTTTAAGTGAATATTTTTATTGTTTCTTTTTAATTGATATACATTAATTTAACCTAAAAGTGAAAGATATTCGACTTCATGTCCATTGTTAGATAAGCAAGAAACGAGAAAATTATCATCCAGGCATTAATAACACCTGGATGATAATTTTCTCGTTTCTTGCTTAATTTAACTTTTTGTTGCTTTTTGATTGGACATTATTCTCAAAACCGAAAGTGCCGCCATTATCGAAACTTGATAAATAAAAATTTCTTATAAAAAATAATTTTTGAAATTTTTAATTACATCGTTGTAAATTTAGACATAATAATGTAAATAAAGTTAATTTAAACATTTAGTTTGCACTTTTATACATACAATATAAAATTAGATGAATTTTATAATAGATTTTTAACAGACTTGATACTTTTATGGGACTGAAATTACGACCCCGCAGACACTCGGTTATAACGTCAAAAAATTGCCGGTCCCATGGATGACGTTATAAGCTGGTTAAACTGTATTGTACTTATGTATATATTCTTATTATATACAGTGGGTGATCAGTTAACAAACATAATCCATTCCAAGACTTTGTTCGCTATCCGAATTGTTTGTTAACCGATTATTGATTTACCATAAGTTTTCTATGGGAATTTGATTAATTTGTTCTGGAGACCCCCAAAAAAAATAAAAAATATATACTTTCTTACTATGTTCACTTATATGTAATAATAAAAATACATATATACACGGTCTTGCATTTTTATTAGTCATGCTTTTTCCGTTTATAGGGGTTAAATAATCTGTCCAATGTCGATTGCTTTTCTGTCTTCTTCATGATTTTTCAGAAGTAATTAATAGCATTGTAATTGTAGAGATCTATAGGCCTATTAACCTCAACCTGGTTTGGATGCCATTTTAAGACCGTTGTTCTGACATCCTCCTACTTCTTCAAAAGATCTTTAATAGCAGATATCGGCATAAATCTACATTTTCAGAAGAAACGTAAAAGAATTGTTTCTGTCAGAAATATAAAAGGCTGGAATTACAAGGGAGAGTTTCAAAGTTTGGGGGAATACTATCCAATCAGTATATACTGGGTAGAATGTCAATGTCAACGTCTCCTGCACTCCGAAAAGTTTCGAATTGTTGCCTGAAGACAAAGGAAGACCAATCAGTATTCGTTATTTTACGTCGCTTCTTCCTGTGTTTGTTCAGTGAAGTGTTCGTTGTCCGATCATAAAAATCTTTTGCGAAAGTATTCATTATCCGATCTGTTCGTTAACCAATCACCCACTGTATATCATATCAAAACAGTCTAGGATTGTATAAATATTTTAAACCAAAACTATAAAAATACTGTATTTTTACATCATTTTAATTCATAGGAATAAATATTAATTGTTATTTATAACTTTCTTGTTTTCTTTAAAATTGAAAATTATTTTGGTAAAACAAAATCCATAAAACTGAACTAAGACATAAGAGCAAATCAAACTATGATAAATGAGTGTTTCTGTGCTTGTAATTTTAATTTATTTGAATCAATTTGTAAATCAGAACTAACATATTGTAATAAATTCTTTTATACCCTTTGATTTTACAATAGGTGCTTAGTTTTCTATGAATTCATTCACATTAATTTTAGTATCAATCAATTTGAAAATTTTCTAATAATCTCCTTTGTTTTGTCAAAAACTTCTCTCACTTTCAAGGAAGATTGCTGTGCATGCATTAATGATAATATTGTAGATACTCTCATTTAGATATATATTGTTTGTGTTCATTTGAAACAGTATAATGTTGTGTGCAGTTGTAGCTTTTTAATAGTACAGGTATCCCTCGTATAACATGGTAGTTACGTTGCAAGAAAGTGCAGTGTTATGCAAATCTGTGCTATATGAAACATAGGACTAATGCAAAACATAGGGTTCCAGAAGTAAGTAACGAAAAATAATAGTATACTTTTGCTAAGAGGAATATGTTTATTAAAGCAATCAATAATTTATTTCCAATAATTAACAATCACAATTAAGTTTAAAAGTACTGTATTACATGTTGTTATTAATTTTAGTTAAAATGAGAGTGTTCTCTTTTTACAAAGTATTGTCATCATCTCAGCTTTTTTGTTGATCTTGATCAGAAGCATCAGCAACATTTTCACATTTTTTACTTTAACATAAAAAGTTTTTGTGGATAACAAAATAAAATTGTTATTAATCAAAAATTTGTTTTAGCAGATCACATTTATTCAGTTGAATACTGAGTGACTATTCCCACATATTTGTGTTCAAATACCAAGATACTGCCGTATTTCATTTGTCATTTTATGAATGATTGCTTGCCTATTAAGCTAAAAAACAGGTTAATAACACTTACCTAAAAATGTTTAAATAAACTTTACTAAATACAAACATATAAAAAAAAAACACAGTATCAGTCTGAAGGGCTAAAGCATGAAAGCAACTACAAGAATATGTGGTTGATAGGAAAGTTAGGACAAAAAAGAAAAAATTGCACTATCAGTTTTCATTAAAGTAAACCCGACGAAAAGCACAAAAAAATTTGAAAATTTCAATATTCTAAAATCTGTAGACAAATTTGACACGCATGCTTACTTAAATAAAAGAAATATCAAATAACAAAGTTTACACTTAAGAATTATGAAATTTTGTATAGAGGATTTCCAAAACAATGTTAGAATGAAATCATGTTGTAGAAGTACTGTGCTGTATGAGGGATACCTGTATACCTAATTTTACCAAACTTAATTTTTGAAATTGCCTACTGTAATTTTCTGTAACTTGTTACATTATGTTCTAGCAGTTTATTGTGTAGATTAATCCTTTTATTCTAAATATTTTAAATATAATTTTCAGTTTAAGACAAATAAAAAAGGGTAGTATCTAATCATAAGTTCGATTGCCAATGAAAATGTGGTTAAAAATACCATGCAAATCTATAACATCAGAAAATAATTGAAATTATTACACAAATTGAGGATTGGCATATCTCTCCATTATAACAATAATTCTGAAAAATGACAATGTAAACAGTAAACAGTAAAAAGAAAATAACTAAAAACAACAATTTTTCCAAAAATCAAAAAATCTTTATTTCATTAAATAATTTTGGTGATATTTAATGAATTAAGATTTTTTTTGTATTTTCTAAGAGGCATGTTGTTTTACAAATATTAATTTAATGTTGAAAGAAAGTTATGCAAGGAGGATAACCATATAATATTCATCTGATCTTGTTTTCAATGTGGATAAGATTAACCTCAATTGGAAGAAGATACTTTAAGACCTCTCTGTAATGTAGAGAAACAAACTTTTGAATTTAAATCTGTCAAGAGCTGTTTAACTTTCTTCTTGATAAAATGCTTCAAAAATAAAACTGAAGCCACTGAATGAATGTCATTTGAAATTTTCAAATAATGAAGGTTCTCATTAAAACAAATTTACCAGATATCTTAACTTTAAACAAAATGGAGTTGAACATTACAAGATCAACTATTATACATATTATTTTTATTCAATATTTACTATTGCTACTAATAACAATACTTATAATGATAATAATTTTCCACGATGCTTGTGTTGATCTAGAATATTGAATAATTATTGGACAGGTAAGAATGACTATAGATACAAGATTAATATCTGATCAAATACTACTCTTTATAACAAATTAACTAGGTGTTAGCAACTTTTAAATCATATCACCTCTGACAAACATTTAAAGATGTTGTGTTCAACTCTGTCATAGGATACTGGATATATCACCCCATAGGATACTGATGTCATAGGATACTGGACATCATGGTGTCATAGGATACTGGACTTATATCACCCCAAAAACATCCAAATTAATATTAGTTATCAGAGATCAAGTCATTCTATAAAAATAAGAGAAAATATAGTCTAAATTTACATAATTTCAGAGGATCTGAAATAGCAGTGAAGAATGCCAATGTAGTTCCTGCAATACTCGCAAACTGGAACTTAACAAACAAGCCTAATGAAGTGACATATTGAATTTTTGGAAAGCCATTCTCATTCTCTTAATGAACATATGATACACTTCACGCCAGCGTTTAGAATTAAATAAATAAATGACACTTTCGTGTTGCAGCATTATTAATAGCGATTTGTTAAAATTCAGGTGTACTCGCAAGTACTTTCAACAGCTTACA